CCAACTTCTTCACTTCAGGAGCCGACGGGGAGAGCTTCCGACCGCGAGACAGTGGCTGCAGCTCGATTCTTGGAATACAACCGTATGCATGCACCTTGGGATTTGGGTCCTGCAAGCACCCAAGAGGACGGTCACAGTGGGCCAGATGAGAAGCGAGAGGACGGGGAGGGAGATGGTGGGACTGACCTGGCTGGGAGATTACCACTTTCTCCCCCACGGCGTGGGGGCGTGGGATGTACGAAATATGTACACTCAAGACGAGGGCTGGCAAAGCCCACACAATTGCCTCGCCTTTCCTGACCTCCCACCGAGCACCAAACGTCCCACCGTTTTCGTGGCGTGCTTCCATACTTTTCTACTGCATCCCACGTTGCCCGGTGGTATCATGTCTACTCAGACCTCCCGCGCTCTATCCCGCGCGCCAGACCGACGCAATGTCCCCCCTCGTCCATGGCGGAAACCGATTTAAACATTCGTCGCTTTATCCCAAGCTCCTGCTCACCTCCACCTCTCCGTCCTTCCCCACGTAGCAAAACAGGCACCTCCCACGATCCCACGTTCCCGCGCTCATTCGTCGTCTCGTTCCCCAGCAGCATGCCCTTGTCGGTGAAGGACGTGGGGAGACCTGGTAACGAGACGGATGTTCGTGACATGTTTCTTATTAAATTGGGAGTGGACAGCGCGACTCAGAGTACGACTGCAATAGAAGAGGCCGAGGGGATGTGGCCGTGGGATGACCGTGGGCGTCAGGAGCGAATGGATACGTGTCGAGAGGCCGGCCTTGGACACGCCCCTCCCACGCTTCGGTTCGAGCGCTGTTTTTCGTCCGTCTCTCCGTTGCCATGCTGTAAGATACAAACAGAACAAGCGACGGACCAAGACCCGCGGCGACGGATGATGGCTCCGGAGCGATGTATGCAGCGGCCGCAGTTCCGTTTCATCCTTGCTCCCAGTGTTTTTTTCTTTTCTTTCCTGCGACAATCTATGCTGTATGACAGAAACACGCACTGCACGTCAGATTGCGAGCTTCTTGACCGCCAGCGAAGAAAAGAAAAGAGAACAAGACGGCAGCAGACAGAAGCGGGCTTCCAAAAGTTCCGTTTGTGTAACGGAATGAGACAGCCAAGCAGCCATCTGCCAACGGGATGTGCCCGGATAACAAGCTGCGGCTGCGGCCACGGCAATATGTCGGGCAGAAAATAGAGTACGAGAATGATCCCGCGGACACAAGACACTCACTGAAGAAGCACGAGAAGCACGCGTATTACGGAGGGATCCTGCCAGGATGATCAAAGAGTAAGCCAGGCGAAAGGTGTCGTGTCACTCGCCACTCTCCCCTTATCTCCCGGCAAGGCGTTTCCCTACTGCGGCCAGTTTCCTGCCCATCTCATATCTCCATATTGTCTCTGTAACGTTTCAAACGGTCTCGCTCAGCGCTGTTACCATTGCCATCGGCAGGGGACGGAAGAGAAAAGTTTGATTACGGAGCACAAAATTACCCAGTACAGACTAGAGGGCTGTGCTGGGTGGTGACCGTTGAGTTGTGCCTGGTGGTCAACGACTCACCAACAAACCCAGTAACCCGGGATTTTACGGCACAGTTTTGCCCGTTTCGTCACATCGCCTTTCCATGTTCTTTCCAACACACGCGCCGTGCGTCAGCTCGACCACTGCGTTCGAGCTGTGCCTCCAAGTCACAAATGTCAGCACACAGGAGACAGTGTACATCTCAGTTTTTGGGCTGGGCCCGTTGCAAGGAGGGGCGTGTGATTGACAGAAGCTGAAATGGCGGTGTCGAGCCGTTTACACTCGTGTCTGATTCGCTTTCTCTTCCTTACTTGCTCACCGTTTTTTGGGTGATCGGGCTGGCGATTGGAGGAGACTGAACAACACGATGAGGAGGGGGGATGGGGGGTTATGGGAAAAGACGGAAGAGATTGGGCGACGACAGTCTGGAGGAGACGGAGGGGTGAAAACAAGAAATGCGTGGGGGACAGCGAAGAACGAAGAGGGGGTATCGTGCAGGACGGGAAAACGGCGTACACCGACAGACGAAGCGCAGTGTTGGGGAACGTGGACGAAGAAGACAAAGAAAGGAATGAAAATCAAATGAAAATCAAATGAAAATGAAAATAAATGAAACATGAAATAGAAAAAGAAAAAGAGAAAAAGAAAAGAAGACAGGAGATAAATGTGAGGTTCAGGAGAAAAGAAGAAACCAAACAAGCGCTGAGGTTGAGAGTCAAAGGCTGACACTGACACGGTTGGGCAAACGGATTTGTCAACTGTCATCATCTTACGACCAGCGCAGAGTTTGTTTTCTTTTGTTTGCGAATTCGGGTGGGTTGAAAGGGGTGAATAATTGTCGCGATGGTATTCCCACATTAGCAGGAAGAGCATGTCTTGAGAAAACACCACATTGCACTTTCATCACAACCTTGGTCACAGTTTCACCTTCCACTGGTCACATCACAGGCCATACAAAGCACAAATCACTCATTCACAAGCACGGGTGTGAAAACCCCGGACAAATGCAACGACAAAACGGTCTGCAGGCTTTCTGGTGATGACTCTTCTTCGCGTGCATCAAAGCGGCACGGCGGCCTTTGCACAGCCTGAACGCCACGCCCCTCCACTCCAACGATTGTATTCACTCTGGATTGACTCTGTTGGTAGTTGTTGCAAGGGCAGAAAATGGTGTTGGTTTAATTTCAAAAATAAAAGATTTGGGGTCTCAGTCTTACCGGCTGCCATAATAGGGAGGAAGTAAGAAGAAGACCAATGACGAACGAAAGACGAGAAGCAAAGCGTCGCTTTTTTCGCATCGAAAAATAGTCATCACGGAAGCTTGGCCACGCTGACCAAAGAGCGCCCACCTCGGCCAATTGTATTTCACAAGGCAGACACTCTCGAGAAAGCGTTCGGTAGAACCAATTGGACGCTGAGAAAATACGACTGTCTCGTCAAACTGCTCACGGGGAGGAAAGAAAATAGGGTGCACGGCAGTGGCCTGCAATTGGATGAAATCGAACGGCCTGGTGACCAATAACCCGGCAAGACGTCCTGTCGCGCGTCTCCTTCGTCCCCCTCTGGCTGTCACGATGTGATACGCTCATGATCCCCTCGAGCACCCCCCTCTCCCCCTTTTCTCACTCTCTATTTTATCACAATCACACACACCGAGAGATTGAGGGTGACCTCCAGGAGTGGCAACGAGGCGCGTGTTTGGTTCGCGTCCCCGTTGGGGCAGGTCGGTGATGTGCTCAGTGCGCCCGTGCCACCCCCCACGGTTGGTTTTCCTTTCTTGCAAGGGATTTGGACGTCTGCTCCTTTATTGTGTGATGGAATCGCTCAAGACGCGACGGCCAAGTGATTGTCGAGGACTTTCGGTCTGTTTCTAAGCCGTGGTCGGTAAACAGACTGGACAAGAAAGGGAGACGGGAAAGGATACAGCCTTAGACCCCTACAGGATGTCCTCCAGAGCAAAGTGCTTGAAAGCGAGAAGAAAACAACATGCAACTCAAGTTCGAGTAAAGTTGAAAGGTTGATCAACAAATAGACCAGGTGACGGGCCGCTGGGGGCCACCGCGGGGACTAGGGAAGCGGGAGGGCGCGACAGGCAGAAAGGGCTCATCACGCGCCCTGCGCAAAGCGGCTCCCACATCCTCCTCTCACAAGCCCACTCCGAGTGGTAAAAATAGACACTCTGGGACAACAACCCCAAAGAAGCAGCGCAGCCGGAAACAGACACTCGAACGGTCATGGATCGACAAATGGCCGAAAACGACTCAATGAGTCTTCTTTACTTGAAGTTTGTTTGTTCTTACTATCGCGTGCAGGAACGCAACTATTTGTGTCCATCGTTGCTATCAAGGCCCAATCGCATTTTGCCTCCTGTTGCTCGTATGTCTAAATATAATCAAAGTCGCCAAGCAACGAGATTCAATATCTTGGTACGACGTGTCTGTCGTGTTCGTCTTCCTCTGAGGGTTGGACGTCTATTTCAGGGAGTCCAGAGGCAAGGAGGGTTATCCAGCATTAGGAGTGATGTGTACGACACGACCGCTTTCTCTGGATAACACAACTGTTTCAAACTCCGCTCCCTTGCCTCTCTACATAAGGCCAACCACGAGAGGGATCGGGCCTTCTTCAACGGTGCACGTTGGTGATAGAGGAGGATGCATCGCCATGAAGTGAGAACGACAAAGGGGATATTCCTTGTGTTTTGGCAATCTTTGCAGCTGAGGCCAGTAGTTTTCATTGTAGAAACAGTCCAACAAAATGAAGGCATATTAAGTTGACAAGCCGAGGACTTGGAAACGACACAGACCCAGTTTGATAGTATTTACTGGGAGGCTCGAGTGAAAACGCCCGACCTGGGCATAAGGTCATCGTCGTAGGGAGGGCATAAGCACCGTGATGTTGACCGTCCAAGATGGGTGTTCTACAGCGATTCAAAATTATGTGCCGGTCACGATGGACTTGTATCATCAACAGAGCACCTAGTGAATTTACCGCTTGATGCTCTTGGTTCGAGTCTGTGTTGCCATTTCCTTCCAGCTATGAGGAGCCGTTTTCCCGCTGAACGGACGAGACCGCTACCACTTTTATAATGGCGAGAGTGAAAGTGAGACGGTTACAGAGCGAATGCCGTGCTGCCATCGTGATGATAGGAGAGTACATGATCGTTGCTCAGAGAGTCCACAGAGACTTGGGATTATATTGTGTATATGCTCCAATCCAGTAGAGCGAGAATATAAAGTGGCGACCCACGCGCATGCATATGCAGATGAGAAGGACAAGCAAAAAGCAAAAAGAGCCAGGAGTAAATGAAACTGAACGGGACCCAAGTGAACGCCGCGCGTAATGAACAAGAGCCCAAAATCAAACAGGAAAGAAAGAAGCAACGAGAGAAAGACAGAGCGACACATGACACATGACGACGACCACATCCAACAGGTATAGAAATGAACAACACATAACCCCCCACTCCACGCCGCTCAGCTCCGCAGAGACTCCAGCCTGTTGCGCATCTGCGCCATCATGGCCTCCGTGTCCTCCTCGTCCTCTTCGTCCTCGTCCCCGTTGGGGCCGCCCTCGGCAATGGCGACCTTGCTGCGCGCCACCGGCACAGCGGGTTCGGCGGCCGCCGCCGGTACGGGGGTTGTGCCGACGGGCGTCGACGGCAGCACCGGGCCCGTCGCGGCCATGCGGTCTTTCAGAATCTCGCTGAGCACGCGGTCGACCTCGCTGTCGGCCTCGGCCACGTCCTCGTCCTCGAACAGGGCGGCGTCGTCTTCGGGCAGCGTCTCGTTGACCATTTCCTCCACGATCCCGGCCTTCATGAGCTCCACGCTCAGCTCCTGCATCGTGCCCGCGAGCTCGGGCAGGCGGATCAGCTGGTTGACGTCGCGCATGACGCCGACGCTGGCGCGGATGGACCCCTCGATCTTGCGCATCGCAAAGGCCTCGCTGACCTGCATCTGGACGCTGTTGAGCTGGGCACGGCCGGTCACGAGGCGCGCCGACGTGCGGCGGGCCCGCACGAGTTCGCGCGCAAAGTCGCGGACCTCGCGTTGCGCCTGTTTGGCGCGGGAGGGATCACGCTGGGCGCGGCGGTCGGCCTGGATGATGAGGTTTTTTGTGGTGATTTCGGCGCGCTTGGCATTGGCAATGTCGCGGTCGATTTTGCGCATGTTGGAGCGCAGGAGTGTGTTGCATTTCCGAAGCTACAAGAGACAAGACGCGCGCGTTTCGTTAGCTGATTGGTGCCGAGCAAAAAGACACCACCGCGAAAAGGATCGCAGCACGGTCAAAATTGCATACCTGCGCCTGCGGGTCAGGCTTCTGGAACAGGGCCCGGATGTTGTCCATTGCCGCCAAGTATACTTGCGGTGTGCGCCACCAGCAACATGTACTTTGATAGTGTTCTGGTAGTGCCTTTCCTCGTCGTCGTTGCCGCCCTCTGTTTACTGCTTCGTGATAGCTTGTCCCAGCCTCCCCCTCTGACGTGCTCCCGTATGACCACGAGCGCAAACGGTGTGAGAAGCCGCGAGTCGTACAATGGATAGAGTGTACCCTTGGTCCTCGAGACCTTTTTTGCGATGGACGGAAGAGATGTCGTCGGGGATTCCTTTGACGTAGAGTTTGGGGATTGAGGAGGATCCCACTTGTCTGGCGTCGCCGTGGAAGAGGCACTGGAGCTGCGCAGGCAGTGTTGATTCGTATCCGGTAGAGGGCTTGATCGGAATGCCCCTATGAAGAAGTCCGGAGGAAGGCAATGCCTTGTTGCCAAAGTCTGCGATTGCGGTCGTGTTTGCGGTTGTGAATGTGGCGGTGGTCGGTTCAGAGGACGTTGGAATCATTGGAATGGGCGCTTGGCCTTTCGGTGACGTTCTTTCCGCGGGGCACTATTTTGCGCCGTCTCTGGAGGGCCGCTTCTGCCTTGCTCGCTGCGCACGTGCTGATAGCGATATGGCCGAACCGGCCCACCAATTGGTGCATATGCAAATGGGCGGGCACAAAGGTGCAGCCGCATCGTTCTTTCTTGAGAATAATTTTGTAGTTCGCGGAAGGCACCAAGTTTGGGTAGTCTCCTTTCCTTTGGACAAATACAATAGTTCACTTATATAATCCCGCATCATATTATTGTCTCGTGCTTGGAGACAAGACTCTGAAATGATCCGGTTCGTTCACATATTCAGAAACACCTGGCTCAGAGGCCTTTCGATACAATCCAGTCCCCGGCCACAGGTTTACAGTTGGATAGGATACCAAGATATATGGCTTTTGACGTCCAACTTGATGCAAAAATAGCACGGATGTCGGACGCTCTCAGGCTCTTTTCACATATCACAGGTACGCTTCTGTTCCTGGCTACTGTACTGTATGGTACTCCAGTGCCTATCACGTCGCACCGATGAGTGGTGCCTACACCGGAGTACAGCCCTTTCTATGGAGCCATCGCCTTTCGTGGCCTTGGTTGCGGGGCAGCCTACGTCGCTGTAGGCTTTGCGCACTGTGAGGAATGTCGAGGCCTCTTAATCGCTCCTACTTTTCACTCCGTGCCCGCTCTGTGAGCCACTTGCCCTATAGGTACCAGGCGCAGCTAGTTGGCGGGTAGAAATACATGAGACGGCCCACCTGCGGGGTCTTTACAAGAGCTACGCAGATGGCAGCTGCACAGTGCCTGCAGAAACAACACAGCACTACGGCACTGTACTGGGGACGGTGTCGCCCCGTTCCTCCTGCTTCTCTGGGTCCTGCTCCAGTCTAGGTGAATCTTTGTGCTTCCTTGCACTTCCACCAACCTTCTGCCCCCCCGCCCTCCTTCTCTCGCCCGCCCACAACGCACGCATTCGATCGCTCTCCTCAGCCAACAGCGACCGCCTGCGGCTCCACCATAGCAAACACTGCAAAAATCGTAAGCCACGGGCCATCATCGACAACCTCTGCTTGCCTCTTTTTTGCAACAAAAAGCGAACCTCATTGTATTCCTCTTCTTCTACCTACCAATTCTCAAAGTGTCGCCAGCAAATATCCCACCAGCTCGACCTGTTTCGTCCGCTACTTCTCGCATAGCTTTGCATCTTTCGCATTTCAGCTTTCGCTGCCACCCTATTTTTCGCTTCACCATCGCCTCTCTCCGGTCGACGACTTCCTTTGCCACCAAGCTCTAAGCTTATCATCTCACTTCTTCACCATGTCTGCCGAAACATACACCCCCGAGGGTAAGCTGTCCCATTCATGTCCCTGACCCCCCAGACTCCTTGAACCGGCCGATCGCCCGAACGGCCATTGACGCGGAGAGCGGAAAGCGGAAAGGGGCAGCAGAGAGTTGACGACGTCACCGACGCTCCCCTCCTCCCTTTTTTCCGGCCGAAACGCAAACTCCTTTGCGATGGCGCTTTGGATTTGAGGATACTCGTCTCTTGTTTAAAGCGCAACCGACACTGACATCCACGCCCCTCCAAAACAGTCCTCTGGGCCCAGCGCTCCTCCAAGGATGACGCCGAGAAGAACTTCATCTACCTGACCATTGTCGTCCCTGATGCCGACCCCTCCCAAGCCGAGATCTCCCTCAAGCCCAGCAGTGTCTCTTTCAAGGGCTTCTCCAAGACCCTGAAGCGCACGTACCAGGTCACCCTCGACCTCTATGCCGAGATCGACGAGGCCGCCAGCAAGGTCAACCACACCTCCCGCTCCGTCGAGCTGAAGCTGGTCAAGAAGGAGCTCAAGGAGGAGTACTGGCCGCGCCTGCTCAAGGACGCCAAGAAGGTCCACTTCCTCAAGACCGACTTTGACAAGTGGGTCGACGAGGACGAGCAGGACGAGGCCCCCGCAGACGACTTCTCCCAGTTTGGCGGCATGGGCGGCATGGGCGGTGGCATGGGCGGCATGGGCGGCATGCCCGGCATGGGTGGTAAGTACAGTTGATCCCATGCGATTCCTGTATCCTGTGATGGTGATTGAGGAACACAGGCTAACCCCTAAACCACGCAGGCGACTTTGGCGGCATCGACTTCTCCAAGCTCGGCGGTGCCGGTGGCTTCGGTGGCGAGGAGGAGGACGAGGGCGCCGAGGGCGCCGAGGGCGCCGAGGGCGAGGGCGAGGGCGAGGGCGACGACGACGACGACGACGAAATGCCCGCCCTGGAGGGTGAGGAGGCTGCTGCTGAACCAGCAAAGTCGGCATAAATGGGTTACATGGTGATTTTGACCAAGGGCCTTTTATTGTTTCAGCACAGTGAAAAATTTAGGAAACGCGACGACCTATTTTGTCAAAGAAAAAAAGGAAAGCCGGTAATCAAATTTTTTATGTTTATTTCGCCTGTTTTGTTTCTTCAGTGTCCGGTGTTAGGATTTGTGGAAAAGAAGGCGTACCGAAGGTGGGGGGGACAATAGTTTTAAGACAGAGTGAGCAACGAGTAGAAATGGGAATGAGAGAAACGTCACAAATTTTACATCAATGTCATTCTGGGTGTCTGCTGTGACCTAGTCATCTTCTCTGTCGTCACTTGCGTGGGGCATTTTGCTTTGTATTCGCATTTTTCCCAAAAGTGAGGACTAAAAATATCGCATACTGAATTCTCCGAATACGCATGCGTATTTAACTACGTCGGCATCGTAGCGTGTGTAAAGGGACGAGGACACTCCGCAGAAGCTGGTGCATATACGGGATGCGTCACTTACCATCACGACCAGGGCAATGGCATTTAAACTCGAAAGCACACTCTCCGCCCGTTTGGGAATATTCTTCACGTCTGGAGGAACAACAAATGGTGCTCAACCTCGGTAGCATTCTATGTAAGGAGCCGAATAAATAACACCGAAAAAACAGAAACGCATACCCCGAAAAGCAACAAGGGACGGAACAAAATAATAAAAAAACCTGTCCTTCCCGTCCGAAATAAAAAGTGTTTAGAAAAGACCAAATTAAAGAGATTTGTGTTGTGTTGTCCTCCATTCTCTCAGCCACATTCCGGCTCCCATTCCAAACACCGTCGATATCCGGCCCATGGTCGGAACTGCTTCCGAATATGTCGCAAATACTTCTTTACATAATATCGTCGTCCATCGGGGCGTCAGCGGTCGCTGCCGCAGGGGCGGCAGCGGCGGCGGCGGGAGCGGCGGCCGGGGCAGTAGTGCCGTTCGTGGCCGTACCATTGCTAACAAAGTAGTCGGCCATCTCCGAGTCAAGCTCCTCGGCGGTCTTCTTGGCCGGGCGGGCGCTACGCGCACGACGACCCTGGCCGGGCTTCTTGTTGCCGTTGTTCTGGTTGTTGGCCTTCTGGTTGCCAGCTCCCTTGGCAGCGTTACCAGCACGCTTGTCAGTGGCGGCGGACTTGGGCTGTGCTTTGGGCTGCGTGATGCGCTGGCCCAGAGGCTTCGGCTGAGGGATAAGCTCGGCCTTGGCAACGACAACCTCGACCTATAATGTCACAGTTAGTAAAGGTCTTGCAATGCCCGGTAGGGCCGTACCAAATTATTTTCTCACCTTCACAGCACGGTTGTCGATAAGCAGACCGTTCAGCTCAGAGAAAGCCTTGCTGGCGCCGTCGGCGTGGTGGAACACGACTGTGGCGATACCACGGCTGACGCCACCAGGGCCATACGATAGCTCGACTCTCTTGACCTGACCAACAGCCTGACCAAAGTAATCCTGTTCGCAGTGGTTAATTGATTAGTTCGAGGACAGAAAATAGCAAGCTAGTCGAAATCTTGCATCATATCCATTGTCGTTCCAAATGATCGTCGCCAACAGGGTCCGGGTCTTGATGTGCTGGATCCAGCCATAGCAATCATAATAGTCGAAAAGAGTGGCCTTCCGATATCTGATACCGATGGGGTCCGACAGAGGGAAACATAAAACTTCGTCATCCGGAACAAAGGGTAAAGCAGAGCATAGCAGTGAGCGTAAAACAGCGAAATGGGCGGACATCCCTTCCGGGAATCAAAGGAAAACAGGTCCCGAGTAAATCGTCCTCAGAAATCTGACATAATATCTCGAATTCGATGGGGCGAGGCGCATTCCAGCCATGTACCAACCAGCGGAACCTTTTGTCGTCGCAACTGTGCGGCCAGTTCGCGCAAACCTTCCTTGTTGAGCCATATCCCAGGCGACAGTGAAGTGCTGCGAAATGAAAGGGCCGCCATGTGGTGTGTCAAGTTTCCGAGCCGCTGTTAAGCCAGCTTTCTGAAAACCGTCATCCGAGATAAACGCGTACTTCCGTCATTGACTGTGCGTGCTTCCCTGCCACGCTGCCACAGTCGCTGTTTATCTCTCATACAACCTGTTGCTCTAAAAGGATCCGAGAGGTGCGGTGATCGAAGGGATACACTTCGGATGTATCGACAAAACCGAAATAAATGATAAGGAGCCCCCGTTGTCGCGCACTGCGTTTGCTTGCCAGGGAAAAGGAATGAGATCGGTTTTTTGGTGACCAGCCAAAACAAGACCATCCTTGCTCACACTGCCATGGAGGAGGTAGCGCCGTAGACTATGCTGACAGTATGTCAACAGCCAAAGACCTCCGCATATTGCCAGCGCCAAAACAACTGTACTTATGGGAGCTTGCCAGGCTGCCTCAAGACAGTGTTCGATACTTGCGCGGCAGGGATGATCTGATTGCTCGAAACTTCCAATACAAGCGATGGCCGCACAAATGGCGAAACAATCGATGGAAGGAGACTGACATGGCAGCGCGACGATTCGACTCTAGGACTTATGTGGAAATGCGAGATGAGCGCACCGGGCGCTTTGCAACATCTCTTAGGGCCGTTCGGACTTGGGAGTCGGAACAATAAACCCACTATCGGACAAGGGAATAGACGCGACGACGACGTCGGTTGACGGAGCGATGGAAGATGTTGTCGAAAATTCCAAACGCGGAAAAACGGCCTCAGCGGAAACATACCTTGATCTGGGCCTCAGACACATCCTTGGGCTATCAAATATTAGCTGATGTGTGAAGGATAGGACAAACGATCGAAGAACAAAAGCCAAAACAGGCCACTGGGACAAAAGAGTCACGTACCAGGTTGCTGACCACAATCTTGCTCTCCCCGACAGCGCCCTGCGGCTTGGAAGGGGTAGACTTGTTGTTGCCACGAGTAGGCTTGGTGTTCTTCTGAACACCACCGGCAGGCGCCGGCTTGGCCGGGCCAGTCGAACGGCGAACAGAGCGACGGCGGTTGTTGCCAGCAGTCTTGCGCTGGTTCGACAGAATGTCGTCGAGCGACTGGTCGAGCTTGCTGGACATCTTGGGTGATGTGTTGGTGGGTGGCGGAAGAGAAGTTGGGAGAGAGGTGGCAGAAGAAATGGCTGTTCGTAAACAACGAAGGGCCTGCGAAGCGCAGAGATCTCCTTCGGGATAAGAGCGAAATGAGCAGTCGACGGGAAAAGCGCGACGTGAAGCGATGGATAAAGTAAGACTGTTTACGAGCGGAAAAAATTGCGCTCGCGGCAGGGAAAGGTCTGGTTTGGCAGGGAAGAGAAAGGGAAAATGGAATGAAGGATAAAACAGTAGGAAGATAAATAGGACTGTCGAAGTTGGCTGCAGTCGTGGGATAAAGAAAGAAAAAATGTCGTTTGCAGGTTGTGTTGATGGATGGAAGAGAGAGAGGAGTGAAAAGTGAGAGGAGCGACGAGAAGAGAGAAAACGGAGGGCAGAAGCAAGGGAGGAGACCAGTCACAGGGTTTGTCGGCCTCAGGTGTTTGGTAGGCAAAACTCAGGCCGCCCGAAAAGGGGCGAGTCCCTTCCTTGCAGGAGGCAACAGGTAGCCATGGGGCTTTACGGTTTGGGGCTAACTGTATTTGGAATGACTCAGCAGCCGTTCCTCGCTTCAGTCAGGGCGCCGGCAGCCAATAGCAATTGCTAGCGCAGCACCCTGTCTCCATGTGTGAGGCCTCGTCAGCGGAGAGCATCCAATCGACAAGGTGATTCAGAGTATCTCACGACATGTATGCACATTGTCTACTATTATTTCGCACATGTATATATGGCACGGACCGGATATATCGTATAGATCCTAGCTGTTCAGAAAGTTCGCTCTTGATTATTGCACGCCAAAAGAGAAAGCAGAAAACAAATGTAGACGCCGTGCAGATATAATTACAACAACAATGTGTGCAAAAATCCTTTTCATGGTCCCAGACTGTCCTTTTCGACCCCTACCCAAGCAAACGGTCGAATGCCCGTAAGCTGCGATGTGCCAGAGCAAGTAACACCCTTAGCGGAGCATCGGGGCCCATCACTGTGCCTCCGTCCCTGCGGCGGCAACTGCCATGTTCCTTATTGGATTGGCCGCTCTTCTTCGGCCGCTGGAGGTAGCACCTGCTGGCCGGCCATCAGTTCAATTTCGCCATCGCTTATCTTGACGCCTTGTTTGCTGCTTGTGTTTGTGCGCCGGTCTTGCCGCTCGGCGTGGACGTCGGCTCCACCGCGTTGACTTCGAGGAAATGGTAGACGACGATAAGGACCATAGCTGCGATGCCGAGGAACACGGCGAGATTGTACAGCTGGTCGTCGGTAATCATTGTGACGGTATTGAAGAGCGAACCGGTAGGAGTGGAGGTCGGATGAAGATTGTAGAGACTGGAGCAGCTTTAGCGACGTGTGGTACGGGAATCTGGTGGTGAGGAATTAATTAGCTTTCCAATTGCTACTTCAGAGGGGATTAAATTGGGGCTAAGATAGACCATACCGTACGATCGGTTGGGGATGTTGAGTAGAATGGGAATTGGCGTAGTGGTGATGCAAGATGTAGCTTCATGGGATTGGCGGCTTGATCGCAACCAGGGAAGGACAGCTTTCACGGCGCGATTTGCTGCCCGTGTCTGGAGGAAGAGCCACACGTGATCATTATTAGTCATCGTCAACTATGGCAAATTTTGGTGCGGTTTGCCGTTCCGTCGTTTTTGCCTTTGCCCGCCAAGAGTCACTAAAAAATACCCCACGCTTGCAGTGTATTTTTCTAGGCGAAAGACACTCAATAAAAATTTATGCCCCAAAGCCGCATCCAAAGGCAAGACACTGCCAACATATAGAACGACGACGTACATTGACGACGACGGCCACAACGACGACCATCCCACTTATTCTTGGAATTCGACGATTAATTCAACCCTCTGGCTGGTGAAACGCATCTTAGCTCCGAGTTTTTTTTTCTTTTGATTTTTTTTGCTCGTTTCTTTTGCGTCTTTCATCATACATTCTTCACGATGCCGCCCAAGCGCAATGAGAAGGGCGGCGGCAAGGTCAAGCCGACGACGGCCAAGCTGGTGGACGACAAGACCTTTGGCATGAAGAACAAGAAGGGCGGTGCGGCGCAGAAACAGATTGCGCAGCTGACGTCTCAGATGAAGAGCAGCGGCAACCCGGAGCAGAAGCGCAAAGAGGCCGAGAAGCTGGCACGCGAGCGCGAGAAGAAGGCGGCCGAGGAGGCACGCCGCGAGGCGGAGATGCTGACGAAGACGGTGCAGGTCCAAAAGGTGCCCTTCGGCGTGGATCCCAAGACGGTGGTGTGTATCTTCTTCAAGAAAGGCAACTGCGACAAGGGAAAGAAGTGCAAGTTCTCGCACGACCTGGAGGTGGAGCGCAAGACGGAGAAGCGCAGTCTGTACACGGATACACGGGAAGAAGACGAGGCAGAGGCGAAGAAGAAGGAGACATCGGCCGACTGGGACGAGGAGAAGCTGCGGTCGGTGGTCATGTCGAAAAAGGGCAACCAGCGGACGACGACGGACAAGGTCTGCAAATACTTTATCGAGGCCATCGAGGACGGCAAATACGGCTGGTTTTGGATCTGCCCCAACGGCGGCGACAAGTGCATGTACAAGCACGCTCTGCCACCAGGGTACGTCATCTTTCCTTCTCTGCCATTGACAATGATTTGGATCGCGTTCTCCCTCTGCTAACCAGACAGATTCGTCCTCAAGACCAAGGAACAACGCGCCGCCGAGAAGGCCCTGCTCGACAAGTCCCCCCTCAAGACCCTCACCCTCGAAGAATTCTTGGAATCCGAGCGCCATAAGCTTGTTGGCCCGTCGACGCCTGTCACGCCCGAGACATTTGCCAAGTGGAAGAAGGATCGCCTGGACAAGAAGGCGGCCGAGGAACAGGCCCGCAAGGCCAAGGAGGCGACCGGTCGTGCCCTGTTTGAGAGTGGCAACTGGCGGATGGACAGCGACGACGAGGCATCGTCCTCCGACGACGAGGGCGACAACGACACCAACGGCGACGCCTGGAACTTGGAGACGATGCGGCAAGAGACCGAGGCTCTGCGGCAAAAGAAGGAGGACGAGCGCTTGGCAAGCCTGGCTGGCGTGCCTGTCGCCCCCGATGCTGGTGCTTCTGCAGAGGCAGCAGCTGCTGAGGCAGACACATGAACGACCCTTACCTTGGGGTGGTCTTTACGGAGACGCCGTGGTTCTTTCCTTACCAGAGAGATAGCGGGACCAAAGCTACGAGACAGAGCTGCGGCATGGTTAGCATCCACCATCTGATGTCTGTCCTTCTTGGAGGGCTGCCGTCGCTCGCCTGTCTCGTGTTCCGCCGACTGTTGTTCGACAGGGCCACACACAAACATTAATTGCCGATTCGAATGTACGACACGATGACGGACTGCAGCGTTCTTGATGAAAAAGCATTTTGTGGCAGCAGTGATGGGAATCATAACGCAGGACTGTGCAACCACTTGCGGGCATGGGAAAAATATTATATCATGGCATGCCATGTGGATGGGCCGACAAAGGAACCCCAATTCACGGTGCCGGGCGTTTTATTGAGTCTTTTATATTTTTCGTCTGTTCTATATACTACGCTTTCCTTCACCTCGGTGTATCGAGGCGCGGGATTACGGTTGTCTAGAATGGCACATTGGCCGACATCTAGATGCAATAAGCGGACATGTAGAATCTTGGTAGCATTGAGACGTCATCGTTTGTTTTCCTTGGTTGCGAGAATTAAATACAGCAACCAATCTTAGTATCCCACATGAGCAACCCATCTGAACTAGCATTCCGCAAAAGGTGACCCTAAACCGTTATTGTAATACCATTTTGCATATTTATCCGGGAGCAAAGTAGCTTCACTATCAGCTAACTATCATGCTCTTCGGTTCAGCACGGCCATGTACGCCTGCCTCTTCTTAGAACTTCTCCACATACGGGCGGAGATCGATCTCCTGTGTGAAGCCTGACCGATGCTGCGTGTGCAAGTGCCAATACTCGTCGGCAATCTGTCTTGTTAGCTGTGCTCTCGCCATTCGACATGCGTCAATGGCCTTCTCTTTGAGACGACTTACCGCATCCGGGCTCAGCTTGCCGTCCGGCGCGCCGCCATTGACGTTGTAGCCCTTGGTCCGCGGGATGTCGATGACAGCGTCAATGATGGCGTGTGCCACATGCACACCCTGCGGGTGAAATTCGCGAGCCAGCGACTGGGCCAGCCCGCGCTTGGCAAACTTGCCGGCCGCAAAGCCCGAGAAGAAGGCGCTGCCGCGCGTCGACGCCGTAGCGCCCGTCACGAGCAGTGTCGGCGGGTTCGGCGAGTCGGGCACAGACTTGAGGAGCAGAGGCAGGGCGCTCTTCGCAAAGAGGTAGAGACCGCGACTACGAGTGTCAATGCCAATAACGAAAACGAAATGCACAACAGGGGCCTGTGAGGCGGACTCACGGATTTGATGCGAGGGACGCGTCGAGATCTTCAAGGGACGTCTCTAGGAACGGCTTGCGGCCGCCGAAACCGCCGCTGACGTTGTAGATGGCAGCCGCGAGTCCGGCGCCGGCAAAGCCGTCGGTCTTCTGGATCTCGGTAAACGCATTCTCCAACGACGCCTGCTCCGTCACATCCGTCGTGATACCGACAGCCTTGCCGCCGGCGTCGTTGATCTCCTTGACAATATCCTGATAGCTCTCAGGCTTGCGGGCCAGGAGGGCCACGGGGTAGGTCTTGGCGAATTTGAGGGCGACTGAGCGGCCAGTACCCGCGCCGACGCCAGCAATGACTGCGTAGAAGCTCTTGGTGGCCATGGTTGTAGCGTGGCTGTACTTGTGTATGTGTTTGTAGTTGTGGATTTGGATTGGAAGGCAAGGGTAGTGATTGAGATTCGGGATGCGCGAGGATGGATGGCGGTCTTATATTCTAAACACCAGACGGGGAAGTGATCATTAATCAAAATGTAAGGCAGAGACGGGGTGACGATGCGATCAAATCGAAGGTCTGGGTCTTTTACGTCCGGGTCGCTCTTTCCCTTATATGCTGCTGTCTGGATCACGAATTACTAATGGATAATGCCATTTTCGGCCAAATGTTCACAATTGGGTACATATTTATCACGTCTACTGGCTGTGTACACAGCTCTTTGAGCATGTACCATGGGCCCAATAGAACATGGCTGTACGATGCTGGCAAGGCGAAAACACCATCGCCCTACAAAATGTCGAATTTTGGGGAAGCTTGTTAGAACGGCGGAGGCGACAAAATCGACAAAATGGTGGCAGATTCTCCCGAACTGACAAATGCGATGGCGGGGCATTTACAAGGTGCTGGTGTGCTAACACACGGAAGGAGCGAATGGCAGTCTTGGAGCTAGTCCTAATCCAGCGGATAACTGGGCCCGTGCGCTAGTCCACCCTTTCCTGCGGTTTTGCGCTTTGTGTGTGGGAAACACGCGACTTCACAGCCTTCGCATCTTCTGCAAATCGTAACGCCTACTAGCCACCGCGTTGCATGAACATTGGCGAATATCCATCACCCACCCCCGATCACATGAAAGGTAGCAATGCACATCGCGTGTGCCTGATCATGCAAGTGAACCTAGCCTCGCTGACTCATGAAAGCAGACCTACAGCAATTAAGTGGTAGCCATCTTAAGTGATGACAGATCAGAGCTTGAGATGCATTCTGCGCTGATATCACAGGCATAGCAGCCGCTCTTTATCCATATCTTCTGGATATAGTGACTGCAGTGCTCTTCACGACGAGTGGATATGCCCCTTGAACCGGCAGGCCCGCCACGCAGAGCGGGCCCCCGGCAAACAGACCTCAATACATGGATGGGTCTGCATGCACAGAGGCCGGCCAACACTTCTGTCCCGATACCGGCTCCGGGGCCAGTACCATTTATGACTGGACGATGCAACACGCCTGCTGCGGCTTCTCCAGATTTCGAAGCTGCCCCGCCTAGGAGGTACCATGGCGCCGGCAACGACGGCCGCGGTGATGACGGCCAGGCCGAATTTTCCCAACAACTGCTTAACCACCAGCACCGCTCTATATTGCCGCCCACATCACAAGCAGACCTTCGAGACAATGGCAGAAGCGCCCGGGACAGACGGAGAGGGTCACCTTCGCGCAGTGCGCTGCACCAGCCACCAAACATGCCGTCGAGGGCGTCACTCTCTTCGCCGGCCAATCCACAGCCTACGTTGCAGAACCGCCCGCCCCGAATAGGACAACCCGGCACGGCGCGCTCGTCGGCCATGGATATTGACGAGCTTGCCAACACGGATGAGGACGTCGAAGAGCTAGATGTACTCCCGCTCGTCATGTCGGACCTGGACCCTCGGTACGCAAAAGAGGTCACTACGCCTAAAAATTCACCGCCGCCGCCCTCTCAACCTTCAACACCACCTAAGGCCAACGGCAACAGTAAGGCTTCCGCAACAACGCCTTTAAGACAGCCGGTAGTCAGTATTCCTTTGCCTGCCTCTGCGCCCTCTGTACATCGATCCCAACAACACACGCCAGTCCAGAAGACACCTATGACGGTGTTCGCATCCTTACCATCACTTTACACGCCTAAAGCTGGCGGCAGCGTGCCGGCACCACCGCCACCAGCAGAATCAGCCACAGAATCAGCAACGGTAACAGCAACAAAGAACCTGTCGCCCGTCGTCGCCGTGGGGCGGCGCTCCAATTCCATGCTCGCCGTGCGCGTCAAGGGCCGACCCAAGGGCTGGAAGCCCGGGATGACCTACCGAGAAGTGGCCCTGCGGAATGCGGGGGTCGATCCCAACGACCCGTCCGTGCCGCCAGAAATTCTTTTGCCGCCACGCCCCCGGAAAACGGGGCGACCACCAGGCCGGCCGCGACTGCCAGGAGGTCCGCGACCGAAGCCCAGCCAGGGCGCATTTGGCTTCAAGCGCGTTGGTCGCCCGCCGATCCAGCCCATTGAGGTGGTTCAGCGCTCCATCTTCTGCAATGGCCAGGCGTGCTTTGCGCCGTTCGTCTGTGAGTGGACCGGATGCCGGGCCGAGCTGCACAACATGGCTACGCTGCGCAAGCACGTCACTGTCGTGCACGGGCGACCAGCCGGAGCGGCCAATACATGTCAGTGGCGACGATGCGCAGACCGCCAGACCGTACCCGCGCGGTACAAGGACGACACCGATACCGACGCAGATGGACAGACATTACTCGAGCACGTTGAATACCAACACCTGGCGCCGTTGGAGTGGCACCGGGGCGATGGGTTTGTCAACAATGGCCACATAGGGCCGCCTCCGCCGCCAGCGGCAGCCATGCTGCTGTCCAAGGCGAGGACAATGGACAATTTGCAAGCGAAGACGGAAAACGACGACAACAAGCCTCCTGCGGCAGAAACGCGTCTTCTGAACAAGGCGCCGGAAGTTGGCCTGGACGGCGTTCCACCTGACGACCTGCCACCCTATCTTTTGGATGACAAGGGCAAGCAGGTGACGCCACTGCTCCGCGATGGTCTCTTGGAAGCGTCAACCTTCTTTTGGACACATGAACAGCGCGGACGGCGGCTTAAAGAGCTGTATCGGCAACACCAGCAAAATATGAAGAAACGGCCGGACCGGGAGCTCGGCCGTTTGGTTTAGTGACTATGGAGACGAGAAGAGCTCTTTTGACTATGTATCATCCAATGTATTACCTACGGCACACACAGTGGAAGGAAAACAAACGGAAATAGGGTGGCAACGTTGTTTTGTACTAGAGAAACATAAAGCAAACGTGGTACAACTTGGAAGTGCGGCAGTTGACAATCGGATATGCCGCTAAACATTGTGACAGAGAAGGATACCCACACCGAACGCTGTACTCTTGCAGGTTGGACATAGAATGGCGGTGAATTGGGGTTTGGTATTATGATGCTCCTTGAGATAGAAGACAGAGAAGCAAACAGTATTTTGACGCCAAAGTATTGATTGCTCCATGGTGTATTATTTTCTTGGCAGTATTTTTTAATCAGAAATGGACAGGCAATTTCTGGAGCGTTCTTCCGTCCACATTGATCGACGCAGGGGGCATTTGTCGGTTTGTATGAGCACTGACAGGATCACCCACTGGGCAAAAACGAGCATCTATCAAATCCAACGGCCATTATGGCAAACAGACAGGCCAGATACTCTTAGGAGTTTTCGGTCAGACTCGTCCCCCCGATCTCTCCAGCAAAAATGCTAGAGCTTGTGGTTTGCATGTAAGTACGGTTGTCGGTCCTATCTAACCGAACGGCAGCCTCTAACGTTGTCAGGAGAATATACACGACAAAGTGCGGTAGTAGTTAAAACAGGACACAACGGCTTTTTTCTTTTGAGTTGCACGGAAAACTGACGTCATGTGGAGATTGGTGCCAAACAAGACAATATCGAAACAAAAACGAATCGCATGCAAAATAAAAATAGAAACGGCGGGACACTGTGGGAAACTGTGGGTTCCCGGTGCTTCCAGCTTTTTATTTTACCTCTCCCGGCTCGCCTGCAATGAAAGCCGCCAGGCTGGTCACCTCGGATTGTCGGCGTCGGATGTCACGGTCGTCTCTTCATTCGCTTTGGGGCCACCTACCAACCAGGGATTGTCCAGCGCGCAGCATCACCGCCGGTCGAGAAAGGAGCACAGGAGAGAAAGATGGACTCCTTTGCGGCTGCCTGGGCTTACGAAGCCGGCTGCATTGATGATGCTTGCCTGTGTCAGAGTCCCAAGCATGGAAGACGGCGATGACAGGCCGAGTGTATCAACCCACCGTTGGGATATCAACGCGATGAGTTGTGATTTTGACGGAATCAGGGGTAAGGGGCATTTTCGATCGTTGAAGTGCGCATTTGTAAGCTAGGGCCTGGGCCAGCCGGAAAAGACCCGGTGGTTTTTGCGCGTCTGGAGACATTGTCCCATGCACTCACGCGTTCACACCATCTATGTGAGGAGTGGCACCCAGAAAGAGGCCCGCAAGTCCGTTTCGAGAGAAAGAAGGCCAGGCCACGCCAATGGCCTGGACCCAGAATGGGCCTGTGGGGGGAAAAGGAGGCACAGCACGTTGCTAGCGGCTTGGGTGGGCTCCTCGCGGACATGGTTCTCGCCCAGAAGGGGTATATCGGATGCCCGCGTTAAAGGGCCTGCAGGTTGCGACAATGGGGACTGGAGTTAAAGAAAATACGTTGAACGCGACGAGGGACGTAGGAACAAAGCACTTCAGTAGACTTGAATGAGTTGAGCCAATCAAGGGCGCCCGAAAGAGGCGCCCGATAGACAGAAAGGATCGTTGTCCGTGTTTGGAAGGTGCGCTGTGTCGCGCGGGGAAGCTGTCGAAAAGGTGGAGGGCAAAGGGCAAAACAGCCGATGACGGGGGCGCTGTTTCCTTGGAAGTGTCTTGTAAGAGAGTCGCCGGAAGCTACGATGGACTGACCGACCAGGCTCTCCGCTCTTCTCCGCGATAGCACTTCTTTTGCAAGTAGGGAAAGTCCATGTGCAAGTTGCCTGGCCGCGCCGACGTCCCACCCATTGGACGGTCAGTGAAAGAGGGCAAACATATCATGCTAATGCAGGTAGTAGCATTGCAAGCAGACAAGAGCCAGCCCGGAATGGCAGCCAAGGATGGAGGAATCCTGTCGCCTCGGAGGAGAGCATTCCTGCCGTCGCTGACGAACTCTGGCTAAAACAGCGGCGCGAGACCACGGCTGCCTGTCTGCCAGTCTGCTTCCGTCGGCGGCCATGGACCAAGTTGCTTGGCTCTTGGGAATGTCGCTGGATCAAAAGCAGACAGCAACGGCATTGGGACGGGGGAGCCTGATCGCAACAAAGAGTGCGGCGAGCATCCAATGCGAGAGATTACCAATTCGTTCCTTCCGTCGGCCGGGCGCTTGTTCGCCCCTTCTCAGCCCTCAGCCTCTCAGCCTCTCAGGCAGTGGCCGTCAGCCCGTCACATTTGCTTCCTTCCGTTTGTAGTCTTGCATCCCCTCGCATTCCCCACTCTCTTTCCGTCCCTGGTCTCGCACGTTTTGGACTTCTTTCCTCGTCATCAAGAGACATCCTATCGCTCCTATCGCTCCTTTGTACTCGTAATACTGCGACATAGAGTTAAGGATCCTAAACTGTCGCTCTAGCATGGTCTCTCTGGGCATCACCAGTCCCATCTCGTCCCTGGGAAAACACGCTAGCGACTCCTTTTCGAGTCTGGCCCCAGCTGGGCAATAGCGACCCGTCTCGCCCGTCGGTAATGGTGGTCATGCTAACGTGCTTTGGTGGCAGCCAAACCGAAAATAACTGAAAATAACGCTCCACAGTGCGTCGCAATACACTGTGACCAAAAGGCGTGCTCTCATCCAATTGCCTGGAACGAACCATCGCCATCGCCGCTGCACTGTCTCTGGCCCCATAATACTGATACGGGTTCCACTGCGATCTATGTTCGTTCGCCGCACAAAGTGGGCCTTTGATGCCTGCAAAAGTTCCTTCCAAGGCCCCTGCCACCACTAAATCCACCACTAAATCCACCACTAAATCCACCACTAAAGCCACACTGAACAGCACCAAAGCCAGCAGTTGTGCCAGAGCCAACCGCAGTCACCCTTCCCAGCGCAATTACCCATTACCAACAACCGCCAGCACTGCCTTTCCAGTCCTGCTCTATCCCTCACTCTCACCATCCACGTCTGGCTCACCTCTTCCTCCTCATTATTCTCCTCCCCACCCCCAACGACAACGACCAACGTCGCACCGATTGTCTCGCATATCAACCCTGCGTCATTGACCGACTCGTATTTGCTGCCTTCTTTTCGTCACAAGGCTGCGTTTCCGAGTTGTCGATTCATTCTCTCTGTCGGCAATCGTTTGGACGTCAACGCTCGCATCCTTGACCAGTTGTCTGCCTTGGCTTCATCCCTCCCTCCGGGCTCGGATCCTGCAACGCCGTCGTCCCTTGCCCACACAGGACGATCGACGCACCCGACCGCTCGCTTCCCAATCGCCCTGCCGTCTTTGTCTTGACGCCGTCACCACCCGGTCCCCCCTCTTCGACAGCAAAACTGGCGCGCACGACATGGCCCAGGCGCTATGAGAACGGCGCCGCTCCTACAATGCCGTCCCTCAACGCCAAGTCCGTCATTGGCGGCATCACCAACAGCAGCAACAGCAGCAACAACAACAGCAATACCAACAGCAATAGCAGCGGAAACGGCAACAGCCACTTCCCCCAAAAACTGAAGAACTTCTTCCGCATCAACAACTCCGCCGACGGCAACAGCAGCAGTGGTAGCCATACCAGCGAAAAAGCTGGTATTCTCTCGCTGCGCACCGACAATGCCGGTAGCGGCGGCAACAGCAACGGTACCGGCAAGACCGGGTTCCGCCAGTCCAAGTTCTTTTCTGTCGGCCGCCTCCGGTCCCAGACCGTCGCCAGCGAAGGCAACATCCTCGAAGAATCCCTGAGCCCGACGGCCCTCGCGAACCCCTACTTCGCCCACCAGGGCCAGCCCGGCATTCGCCATCACAATGAAGGCTCGCAGCCGCCGAGCCCACCAGACACCCCGAGCCTAAAGGTGCTCGCCGCCGACGGAGCTGGCAGCCCCGGTGCGGGCTCCGCTGCCGTTGCGGCCACGGCCGCAGCCAACGGCGAGCGCACCACGACCGCCTCCAAAGAAGAGCTGGCTCGCAAGCTGCGCCGCGTTGCCAGTGCCCCCAATGCCCAGGGCCTGTTTGCCAAGGGCGCGGCCGCCGCCAACGCTGCTGCCAACGGCGGCCCCATCCCCTCCTCGGGCCTCGGGAACAACGGCTTCATCGTGGGCGGCAGGGACAGCGACGAGCGCCCACACACGGCCGAGCTTGGCAAGGATCCCGTCGTCATGACAAAAAACGCGAGCGGCCTGAGTCTGGTCGATGCCAAGAAGCTGGCGGCCGCGTCGGGTGTAGTCGGCGTCAGTGCGCTGGCCAGCAGTCCGGCGCTGGTCGATGACCTTGCCAATGGCACTGCGGGCGGCGTTCTTGTCGACAAGGACGAGCTGGGCGCGCTGCCACCACCGGGCCGCTCGCCGCTCGCTTTTCGAAGAACATACAGCTCCAACTCGATCAAGGTCCGCAACGTCGAGGTCGGCCCGCAGAGTTTCGACAAGATCAAGCTCATTGGCAAGGGCGATGTCGGCAAGGTCTACCTTGTCCGCGAGAAGAAGAGCAGTCGCCTCTATGCAATGAAGGGTGCGTTTGTCTCCCCCTGGTTACGGTGTCTTTTATGGCGTCTTCACGTTCGGTCCCATACTGACTTTGGTGTAGTTCTGAGCAAAAAGGAAATGATCAAGCGCAACAAGATCAAGCGCGCCCTCGCCGAGCAAGAGATTCTGGCCACCAGCAACCACCCCTTCATTGTCACCCTCTACCACTCGTTCCAATCCGAAGACTACCTCTACTTGTGCATGGAATACTGCAGCGGCGGCGAGTTCTTCCGCGCGCTGCAGACCCGCCCGGGCAAGTGCATTCCCGAGGACGATGCACGCTTCTACGCGGCCGAGGTCACAGCGGCCCTCGAGTACCTCCACCTGATGGGGTTCATCTACCGCGATCTGAAGCCAGAGAGTATGTCCCGCTTTGACTCTCGTTTTCTCTCCATCACTGCTTCCATGCACCTGCTGACCATGCGCTCTAGACATTCTACTGCACCAGTCTGGGCACATTATGCTTTCTGATTTCGACCTCTCCAAACAGTCCGACACCGGCGGCAAGCCCACCATGATTATCGGCAAGAACGGCGCCAGCACGTCGTCGCTCCCGACAATCGATACCAAATCGTGCATCGCTAACTTCCGCACCAACTCGTTCGTCGGCACCGAGGAATACATTGCGCCCGAAGTGATCAAGGGCAGTGGGCATACCAGCGCGGTCGACTGGTGGACCCTGGGCATTCTCATCTACGAAATGCTCTACGGCACGACGCCCTTCAAGGGTAAGAACCGGAACGCGACGTTCGCCAACATCCTGCGGGAAGAAATCCCCTTCCCCGACCACGCAGGCGCTCCACAGATTTCCAAGTAGGTTCAAACACCTCTTCGTTCCTGCATCATATTATTCGCATGTTGACGTCATACTAATCACATCCCCAGTCTCTGCAAGTCTCTGATTCGGAAGCTTCTGATCAAGGACGAGAACCGGCGCCTGGGCGCCCGTGCCGGTGCATCCGACATCAAGGTGCACCCCTTCTTCCGCACCACGCAGTGGGCCCTGATCCGGCACATGAAGCCCCCCATCGTCCCCAACCAAGGCAAGGCCATCGATACCCTCAACTTCCGTAACGTCAAGGAGAGCGAGAGCGTCGACATCAGCGGCTCGCGACCCATGAAACTCAAGGGTGTGCCCCTCGACAGTGGCCTTTCGACGCCGGGCAACGAGGTCGTTGATCCCTTTGAGGAATTCAACAGTGTCACACTACATCACGACGGCGACGACAACAGCTACGGAAGGTGACAGGAGAAGTAAGAGAAGGAAGAAAAGGAAGAGGAGGGAGAGGAGGGAGAGGAGGGAGAGGAGGAAGAGGAGGTTAGAGATGCAACGAGGAGGGCACGAGCAGAGTCGGAGCCGTGTCCGTCCTGTTTCGTGCGGTTGAATTCGTCGTTCCATTTGTCTTGGCATATACGGCATCACTCTCCGATTTGATGTGCTTGTGCTTGTTTTTCCGGCCCTGTACAGATTTTGTTGTTTTCCTGTCTTTTTCCGTGCCCCTGCCTGCGCCATAAATCTGTGTTCTGTGTTCTGTTTTCTTCGCGCATGTTTACCGGACGCGCTGCATTTGACTGTTTTTGGGACGGCTGATGCGTTTGTATTTCTTTGCTTTTCTTACAACTTTGCATTTTTCATTCTGCATCATTTCTCAAATGCCATTCATCTCCTTCCGCAGGGGGTGTATTTTCAGCATCTTCTCCTTCATATTTTTTCATTGTTGTTTTAGGTGCGTGGATGCTGTGAAGGAGCTGTCTACTAGGAGCAGCCGAAATATGAGGAGAAAAGAAGAAATACTCTTTGACTGCACATGGTTTTCGTCTTCAACCTGTCCGCGTTGCGCCCATTTTTTACAAGAATAGCCGTAGGAGGCTGCAAGGGAAGGGATACATATTTCCATTTCGATACAGTAGTGTTTCCTCGAAAATTGTGTCCTTTTTCAATGTTTTGAGACCAGCTGTGTTTGATCTCGATTTTAAAGACAGGTAACACGTGAGGTCCAATTTTTTACAACGTGGTGATGTACAGAGCTGGTAATAACGGTCGCCCATCAAGGACAACGCCTTCCGTATGGAGTTGCCTTAGACTGCCTTCGTGTACCGGTCGTGGCTGCCAGTATATTTTAACAATAAAGGAGTGTTTTATAAAAACAGGAAAGAACAAGTGAACTTTGGATACCAATACGGCATCAGCTCAACCGCACTTTCTAGTTGCGTGACTGACATTACTTTCTACAACAGCTGTGTGGGAAAGAGCGACCTGGCGCTTGCTCTTCTAACTTGGTGGGAAAGTATTGTAAGCCAAGCTGCCATTTTATGGACGCACCAGTAAGGCAGGAAAGGGTTGCTAATATTGACAGTCTTAAAAGACATTCTTATTTGATATGCGCCTTGTATGCATTTTGCGGATTTGTGCTCCTTGATCGGCTCAGCGTGCAGGGGTCATGGCTGTAATACCAATCACGACAGCACAGCCAGCCTTCTGGGGCAGGGCGCGCCGTAGCTGCATGTGAGATTCGCAGCTCTTTCCAAGTATTTTGAGAGATTCGGTCGCGCCTTCTCTATCTGATTCCGCGCGGCGGTCGTTCTTTCTTATATACTTTGTTGATTTCTTCAGGCACCCCCTTTTTTCCCCTAGCCCTCGCCCGCCATCTCCTTGTCTCCTTTTCCTCTAGATACGAGGAGGAAGTTTTAGCTTCTCAACCTGAACGCCACATTCTGTTTACTTTGCCAGCTACTCTACTTGACGCATGCTGTTTCGTAGGTCCGAGGTAACCTTTCTCCTCTCGTGTTGACTTGTCTCTGTTATCTAACATCATAGTTGATAATCTAGTACAGCCTCACCCTCACAATGTCGACCAAGGAGGCGGAAAGCCGCGCGGCAACACAGGCAACTACTCCTGCGTCGATGCGCAATGGGTCGTCTGCGTCCACTGCCGTTCCACCATCAAGTGACACCGGTCCAGCAGGACGGGAGCGCAGCCAGCAGCAGACCAGCAGCTCCTCCTACTCAGAGCCTCTGCGCTATGGTGCAAATATGCCAGCATCATACGAGCCACTGTTTGACGGTGCGTACGACAGCGATCATGAAATGGACGGGGCTAAGGATGCTGTCCCACCCGACACATGTCCCGCGGCATACATTCTCGAGTGGGGCCCGCAGCAGTCTTGCGTTCGCTCCCCTCTCGATATCGACGACGCCGTGCTCAGCAGCGTCTCTTCTTTGTCCGGCGGTGTAGCGGGCGAAAGCTCCTCGCGCGTGAACTTCCTTCGCCATGTGTGGCAGTGCGACCACAAATTGCCGTTGTCACCATCCGTGGCAGGGCGCATGTTTGTCGGGCTACCGGCATCAGCTACGTGCAGGCTCTACGTCCTTCGTGACACTGGCGATGAGGAGACCAATCGTCTTCTCTGCGCTACCTTTGACGTGGATCCGGCATTCATGTCCGCTCACATTTCTGGACAACGGTACCGCCCGAGAGATCGTCCGTGGCGTGGTGGGAAGGGACATAGTGCCACGTTTTCGGCATGTTCCTACGTGTACCCGCAGACGCTCACTCTCACCGTGAACAAGCCGCTTCCAACGGGTTCGCCTCGTGGCAGTGGGAGTAACAGTCAACTGGATGGACCAGGTGCAAAGCCTCAGACTCCTGCATCCCAGGCTCCTCTCGACAACGGCCTGCAGCACCAGGAAAAGAACGAGGCGACTGCCCCTGTGGCGGAGTCGAAGGCTCCCAGTCAAGAGCCCCGGCACTCCTCGCCTACCTACGATCCAAAGACAGAGATGATCAGCAACCCAGTCGTCATGTTCTGTCGCGCAAGCCTCTGGGCGAGTCCACGTGCCAATGTTCTCTTTCTCGACCGCAATCCTTCATCCACTTCTCTCGAAGATGCTCTGTTAGAGGCTCTGGATGACACGATGGGGCCTGATTCTGCCCCAGACCAGAGTGACAATGGAACACAGCTGGCAACAGCAGCCAGGACGCTTGAAGATTCGCTCTCTGGGCTTGTCTACGACCAATGGCTGGACTTTGTTGATACACTCAGTGTCAGCAACCGCGAAATCAACCCGGGAAGAATCAACAGAAAGCTTCTTTGGGGAATGTCGCAGTACCTGGAGCAGAATCTGACCATAGCTCGCACGCACGAAAAGAAGGTACACATGGCAAAGCAGCATCAGCTTCAGTCGGCACAAGAGACGGACAAGGCTTCGTTGGAAAATGCAGGTCCCTTCTACTATGATGGGCAGCAATTTGCAGGCTCGGACGACTGGAAGGAGCTTCTCTCCCGCCTAGAGCGAATTGTGGCATTACTTCCGTTGCAGAGTCGGAACCCATTGGTTGCTGCCACAGGTGGTAACATGGCCCGATTCACCGCGTCAGACACGTCATATACTGTCAACCGCATCCCCTCTCAGGACACTCAAGAAGTGGCCATTCATAGTGCACCGGAGCTTGGTCTAGGCAGTAGCACATCCACTCCAAAAGGCCCTCTCCCTGGTGGCATCAATGACCCATCTCGACAGCCGTTCAGTCGCACGCCGGAGGGACAAGAAGCTCTCAGCAGAATATCTTACATGGGTGGAATCTTGCTGCCGTTCTCTATCATCGCCGGCGTACTCTCCATGTCAGATCCGTTTGGTCCGGGCGACCGCCTATTCTGGGTCTTCTGGGTCATCACGCTTCCCATAACATGCTTTACGCTAACCATTATTTACGCCGATGACATTCGAAAGGCTTACATCTGGAAGCCCATGAGCCACAAGAGCCTCCAAGACGCCATCAACAAAGGCGAAGCCGTCACTGCCGACGCGGCGGCTCGTCTGGCGCACGCGGCTGAGAGAGTCATTGACAAGTTCTCTTCCGATGGAGACCCGGAGATTGAGACAGATCCCGTGGCATCGGCGGTTCGCCTCGTCGACGCTCGTGGCAGCAACGGACGGCGGGCTAGGGTCCGTGTCACGACCAAATCAGGTCCAGGTGGACCGACGTTCTACCGACTTGCCGATGTGTCCAATCCCGAGAGCCCACCAGTGTCCCCAGTTTCGGCTCAAGGACCTCCACTCCCCGAACCTGCGACCGTGAGGATAGCGACGGCTAACGTCGAACTCTCAGGCGCTATTCAACACGCTCGAGTACGGCGCCGCCTCGGCATTTTGGGCCCGTTGCAACAGCTTTGGCCCCGAAAGAGCCAACCGAATGTGCCGGCGTCAACTTCGTTACATAATGCTAGCTCAGCTCGGTTCGCAGACGATGTTGAGCCAGGTCTCCCGTCGGGCGACACGGTGGTTATCGACGTCGTCAGACCTAACGTGGACAGCGGCACTGCTGAGATGTTCAGCCGGCCTGTTTCTGGCCTCAATGTCGCCGCCCCTGGCTGTCCGACGATTCTCCTGGAGCAGCGCAACGACGAATTACAGCCCAAGGCATGGCGTCTGCAGCAGCTTGGCTGGGTGGGAGCTTTCAAGACCATGGTCGGCTACCAGCGACCGCGTGACGCCTAGAAGGAGTCCGTCGAGTTGGTACGGCTGCAAAGTCGGAAGACTATCTGATGGAATGACGGAACGATGGAGGCGTTTCATTTATAGGTCATGTGGAACAAGAGCCCATACATCCTGGCGAGAGTCTATGTGTTTTCGGAGTGGAAACGGCGTACGGGATTATGGCGCAAGCGAGGCAATGGTGGATGTGGGAATTAAAACGGGGACCGATGGCCGATGCGTAAAGTACTTTTAGTATGATTATAGCAGCTGCAGGTACAACATACTTATGACGGGTAGTGGCCGCCACACTAAAGTCCTCTCTACGCGTAAACGCGTCCAGGCTCAATAGAAATCATTATCCCCGCATGAGCTCCATACATCAACCTCATCCCTTTCAACTTACGCCCAGTGAGGTCGCAACAGTTTCTTTGACGCCCTCGCTCTGACTACCTCCCTTTTCTTTTCATCGAATTCGAACCCAGCTATGGACGGCGACACGACCGAGATCCTCTCCGCGCCGCCAGCGCCGGCAGGCGCGCCGGGTCCCCCTTCCCACGAGGATCTGACGCCCAAAGAGCAGGCTGTGCTCGAAGAATACGAACGTCTAGCTGAGAACATGAAGAAGGTACCGTTGTCCACTCGGCTCTTTTGCCTCACGGTGTCGACTGGTTGGCCTATGTGCCGCTAACTATACAGCTCGCTGCTCTCCTCGACGACCTGGCCGGCCGGCCGGCAACAGAAACGCTCGACGGGCTACGGGAACTGGAGCGCAAGACAAGTCTTGTGTTTACGCTGCTCAAGGCGAGTGTGTACAGCATCGTGCTGCAGCACCAGATTGACGGCGGTGAGCAGTAGGCATGGATAGAGGGCGGATGAGGTGGACAGCATGGTGGACAGCATGGTGGACAGCGTGGTGGACAAAATGCAACGACGATACCCTCTCGCGCGTCGTTGGGGCGCAACACACGATGGAAAGAATGTCTCGAAAAGGCGTTCATGATTTGATTTTGCCTTTTATTTTTATGCTTTGGTAATATACAAGATATAATGGGGGTGTTTTGAACAAAAAATTACAAAACTATGCTGTTGTTTTCTCCCCCCCCTTTCTGTCTCACCCGCTCGCTGCCTCTGTCTCTCCCAATACTCTGTCCCTCCTAGTATACAGCACCACCAAAGTAGACTTTGCGCACGTCGACCAGCTTCTTGCCGCGGCCAATGGCAATCTGCTCGGGGTCGCGCTGCTTCATGAGGGCGGCGTAGGTAGCCTTGACGACGTTCATCGGGTTGCGCGACCGGGGGATCTTGGCGGCAAGGTCCTGGATACCGGCGGCACGGGCCATTTCAAAGATGTGATGGGGCACACGCAGACCGAAGCCTAGATGACGTTAATTGGAAAGGACACAGACAAAGCAACAAGGCGATTGCTGGTGTTGGGGCAAGGGGGGAGAGAGAGAGAGAGTAGTGCCATGCAGAGGAAATCAAAAAACGTACCTGGAGGACGAGAAAAGAGCCTGACCACGGTGCCAGAGATCTTCTGCTCGACGTTGCCGTAAATGGTGCGCTTCTCGTAGCGCGGAATGGGCCGCATGTTGCGGATGGCGGCCTCCTTGGCCTTGGACCGCGCCGTCGTGAATTCGGTCGACTTGAAGGAGCCCAGGCCCAGACGGCCGTCGCCGTTGCCGGCAATGGCCAGGACGGAGAATTTGCGGATCTTGCCCAAACGCGTCTGCTGGCTCACCATGCGCACGGCCAGCTCCTTGGTCGCGAGCGAGAAAATCTCGCCGACCTGGAGGCCCGTGCGGTGGACCAGGTCGGTGTAGTTGCCCGCCTCGTCCAAGCCGTCGTCGTCCGGGTCCACGAGGGTGGCGTCGCGCGACTCCTCGGAGCTGATGCCGGGCACGTTGTACGGCAGGCCCAGCGCCATGCTCGAGTTGCCCGTCTCCTCGGGCCGGATGCGCGTCTTGCCGTCCCTGTGCACAAGCGTGGGGCGCTCGTGCAGGTACTTGAAGACATCCAAGTCCGAGGGTCCGTGCTTCTCGGCATACTCCACGCGCTCCTCGAGGGACATGCCCTCCCAGTTGATCGACTTGTCGGCGACAAACGACATGGCCCACTCCTCCATATCGTCGATAAACGTATCATCGTCCATGGTCGTAAAGTCCGTGGCGACGTTCTGGGCGGCCGCCGGGTCGCGCGGGCGGCGGTCGACGACGGGCTGGACCTTGCTAAAGTCGTCGTAGTAGTTGATGCCGGCAACACGAGCGGCAGCCGTGCTGCGCAGACGGCCCTGCAGCGCCAGATCGCGTGGGTCGACAGCAGCCTCAGCAGCCTCGAGCGCGGCCAGCTGGGCGGGTGTGTACTTTTCCTGGTAGACCTCCTTGTCCTCTGCAGAGACGTCCGGGAAGTGCTTCTTTGTGAATTCGCTGATCGAGGCGTCGTCGACCAGGCCCAGCTCAGCGGCTGGTACGCTGTTGAAGCGGGGGCGGCGGCGGGCCGGACGCGGCGCAGACGTGTGGAAGTGGCTTGCCTGGACGAAGAAGGGCACGGAGCGGGGGGAGGACGACGGGGCGGATAAGCAAGGCTCGGGGGCTGCTTGTTGTGATGGTGACGGCGTGTGTATTGACGGTGTTGTCGTCGCAGCCGAAAACGATCCTGTGCATCGCCGCGTCTCCGGGCCGCCCGCCAGACGGCGCAGCATGCCGCCGGCCGTTGTGCGTGCAAAGCTCATGGCTCGTTAGGAGTGTGCGTGGATGGCAATTGGCGTCGTGACAGGCGGGACTGTGCAGTCGTAATCGTCGCCTGCGCGCGTGAGCCTTTTCGAAGCTGTCGCCGTCCTGTTTCGGAACAACAGCTAATTTTTTCGGGGCAGTCGCTGTTGCTCAATTGGCAGATACGGAAAATCTGCTGTGACCGCTCTTATCTTATCAAAGGCACGTGATAAATCATGTGCCCTGTGTTGCTAGTGACACCCGTTGGAGAACGAGAGTTTGTGTATTTTTAGCGTCTGCACCCCTGAGAGCACTCATACAAAACACTGGCTGCGAAGCAATGGCAGTCGTACGAGTGATGCGACCGCAGACATGTATAATAGAGACTCCAGTTGAAATCGTCCAAATGAAAAGAAACGGGTGCAAATAGATGCAATCCAGCACCAGTACATGGCCACAGTGATTGTGCATACTGGCTTACATAATTTTATGTACCCTCCTTGGCCCGAGTCGCTCCTTCCCCTGGCGGCAGCTCTCCCCAAAACGGCCAGAATCAGTCGACTCTGCCGCACACCTGAAACACAGCCTTGTTCCAGGAGCATGAACACCGCGTAAATCCGTGGCAGGAGCGAACGGTACTTGTATTTTGTGCCTCTTTGTGCTTCTTCGTTTGTATATTTTCTTGTATGTTTTATGTCTTCGCATCTGCCTGTAGCAGGGCTGGCTTGAGGACCAGCAGCCATGGACTGCCAGCTCAACTCCAGGGACCTCGCACAAAGAGCCCGTCGCTTCGTCTCAGGTCCCTGCTCGCTCCCAAACTCGACGATAATGCCCTGCTGCCCTCCGTCCCCAGTGGAGCTTACGACAAGAGGCGTGGCCATCCAGGTCGACGTAACATCTTGGGTTTCGGACAAGGACAGCACGGTGGACCACTCTGGCGGGTTGTCTGTGCTGTCTGTGTGGTTCCTCGGTCTCTCTCTAATTCTCTGTCTCTCCGTGCTGTCTTCTGTCCTGTCTTCTGTCCTGCCTTTTCTCCTTTCTGTTCCCATTTTCTGACTGTGCCCTTTCCTTCACCTCCCATTCCTCGCCTCTGCTGTTTTGTTTCTTTGTCATTTTGCATCGTGCATGTCGACATTGTCGTCTTCTCGTCTTCTCGTCTTCTCGTCTTCTTCTACGCGACTTGTGATCTCTTTGACACGACCCATCGACTGGTTCCTCTGCAGCGCAGACGTTTTGTTTTCCATTTTTTTCTTTTGTTCTCTGCTTCCCTTTTCTTCTCTTTCCCTCTCGTCATTTCACCGTCCTCGAATACCGCTTCCGCGACCATTGTCGAATCCGTCAACATGGGCCAGTTTGACTGGTTTTCCAAAATCGGCGCCACCAAGGAGGCCGTCGCCACCCTCAACGACCAGCCCGTCCTCTTCTTCATCCTGCTCGCCGTCCTCGCTACCCTCGGTATAGAAATCACCCTGATGTGGCTCATCCACCACGCTACTCTCAAGCCCGAACAGAAAAAGAAGAAGGAGAAGGGCGGCAAGAAGCCACCTGCAAAGAAGTAGAGTTCTGCGCGGGCTGCGGGCGGTGGGCGGTGGGTGTCCCGACAGGCGGATGAGTGAGGGCTCGACCGGACCCATTGTGTGGAAATCGAGACACGAGAAGCCCGAGAATGTCGCACAATCGGGCAATCGAACGAGACACAGACGCAAATGTGGACGCAACGTCTGGGTGATGCCGACAAATGCCGACTCAAGTTACCCTATGTTCGTTCGAACCATCCAGGGGCAGTCATACTTCCTCAGTATCTCGACCACCAGCTTATTAAACACGTCAGCAACAAATAAAGACGTCTTCTTGCTCGACGACCTGCTGCCCATGCTTGGTTGCGCTTGTCTTTTGCCGGCCATCTCACGTCTACCCATTTGTCCGGGCGCCTTTTTTTATGTTTTGTTCTCGGTTTAGTTCCCTTTATCAAGAGCGAGCAAGCGACGAGCGGGCGATGCATCGATGACAAGACAGCATAAGGCACAACGCATGCCTTGCTTCGAGCGTCCAATTTCTTCTTTTTTATATATTGTACATACATCTGGACGAGGGAGCTGAGATTTCTAGACGCAAGAGCGAGAGATAAGTTTCGTTGTATTTCTTTTTGGTCCCATTTTCTCACCCGATGGCTGGCAGGCTGCATCGAGCGGACAAAGATCCTTTATATTATCTTCCTTTTATTTACATATAAACATAAAAACTTTTCACCTACTCTATTGTCTCTTTTTTCTGCGTCGTGTACTGCGCAGTGGCGTTGCAAATTGCTCCAAATCGGCTCAGAGGCAAACTTGAATGATGTCACTTTCGTCTCGCCAGAGTCCCACACCTTCATCGAGATCCTCTTCGGCAATGTCCATAAACTCAGTTTCGTCGTCGTCCATATAGCCCATATCGTGATGCATAGGCCGACTCTCGTTCTCAAAGTCCCCTAACCTGTCAAGCTGCCATGCATGCATGTCCTGCCATAACGCGGGGCCACTACCCACATCGTCGGAAAGAGTACCATCAAGGCCGTCTTCGTATTCTTGATCTTCATCCAGTACCTCGTTCTCCTCGTAGACTTGGCCGTCTGGCGACCAACCCTCGCTGATCTCGTCAAAACGACTGTCTTCGTCGTCCATGTATTCGTTGGCCTGGTACATGTTTGGCTCGGACCAGGCTTCGATGTCTTGCCAGTCTAGCTCTTGTGCTTCGATTTCGACGTCGTCATCATTAGCTTCTGCATACACCTCCAACTCCAGTGGTTGCTCTTGAGAGCTACCGTCGGCATCCGACGATTGGGTAAAGATGGCCTCCAAGTTGTCGTGACACAAATCAACCACTTGATCCTCGTCCGGCTCAAAGTCTAGACGCTCAATAGTCGGAGAAGAAAACAATTCTACTGGCGATACATGACTTGGTCCAGGTGCTATTGGTAGATACGAAGGGTGGCCAGGTCCTTTTATTGCCCTGGATGCCAGCGTCACCGACACGGGCCGCGACAGATCGGTTTGTTCGTGTACGTCTGGCCTTCGGTTCGGTGGCTTCTTTGGTCGAAGTGGCAGTTGCATCACACTCTTGAGCAAGATCTCTTCGAGTTTCCTCATGAGCGGTCCCTCTTCCGTGTTGGCCTGGACGAACTCGTCAACGCCGCCACTCTCGGCCAGCGCCTCGGCCTTTCTCCGCAAACTGGCAGACTGCGCATTGGTGAAGCTCGCCAAGCATCTGTGAATCAAAGGCAGGTAGACTGCGCGTGAAGACACGGCCTATTATTGTTATGTCAGGGACGAGGACGTTGAAATACGGCCTGGTGGTATTTCAGGTATTCTTGTGAAGCTCACCGTAAAGTAGTGGTTGCTCCATACCGCCGGTGCCACATCCAGCAGTGACGGAGCACCGTGTGGTGCGGAAATGGCATCGACGGGCCGGATACCTGGCACCGGTGGTGCTTTTCCTGCCGTGCCCACGAGCACATGAAGCGCCGTTGTAATGAGAGAGACAGACTGACGCCACGCGGCACTGCCAACCACCAGCACGTCCCGCGGGTCAATGACCTGCTGCTGCCTTTGCCGCCGGGCGGCTTCACTCGGTCGAGGTCGCAAGTTTGGGCGGGCGGGCGGTGGCTTCTCCTCGGATCTGAACGACCGGCTTCCTCCTTTCGACTTTGGCTTTGGCTTGGATCTGCTTGCTGCTTGCGCCTTACTTTTAGCCCTCTTCGTCGCCACCGTCGCTCGCGGGAGCTTGAATCCTTCCGCAGAATATCGGAGACCCAGCTGGCACGTCACGCGCTGTAGTCGGGCCAGTGGGATGCCGCTACCGGCTTGGCTTGGTGCGAACAGTCCTCCGGGCGAGGGTGGATGGGTAACAGTCAAATACAGGAGAGTTGTATCTTCACGAGACCCCGTCTCCGCGCTCCTGCTTCGAACACGTAGTCCTAGCCGGTCCTTCCACGCGGGCCACTCCATAATGGTCTCGCGGAACAGCTCACAAAGGTAGTCGTTGTCATCGTCTTCGCCGTCGCCCTGAGTGCCTCCATTGCTCATACGCTTCCCCTCCAGCATGGGGCGTACAGTCAGGTCGACACTGCGCCCGTCACTGCCAATCCACAGCCGGCCAGCTCGAACAAGCTCGGCAACGCGAGCCGCAGTAACTACCTGGCTGCGGAAAACGCCAGGGTTGTAAGACCCTGGAATGCCTCCCAATGTATCCCAAGCGAGCTCGGCCGTGGCGGTCAAAGTCAGTTTCCATTCAGCATCAAAGGTGACCCATTGGCGACGGGGGAAATGGACTGTCGTTGTTGTCGATGCTGGCGGCAGTGGTGGTAGTAGTGGGGGTGTGGATATCGATGCCATCGCTGCCCCATCGGTAATGGCATCGAGCATGGCAAGTCTTGAGGGGAAAGGGGGAAAAGTAAAAAGAAAAACCAAAAGAAAAAAGGGGGTTGTGTGTTGGCAGACTTTTGCCTTCCTGAACGGAACGGGAAGGAGCGGCGCATCGTCACTCCTGCCGATATTGTTTGTGTGCGGATTTCCAGCTTGAAAGACAAGATTGCTTTATTGGGAAACAACTAGACATAGGTCGTTCGCAGCTTCCAGATTGACAAAGTACCGCCAGGCTGACAGTGGACTAAGGCATTCATTATAGACCAAAAAGTGAAGCATGTAATCTGGCCCTAAAATGTCGGTCAAGTTTATATTTTCCAGTAATATTGTATTTTCATTGATGTAAAGAAAGAATATGCGCCTTGCAATGGTATGAGTCGGTGAAAATAATAACAAAATAACAAAACACAAGCGGATCGACCTGCTGTTTCCTTGTAAGCGCGTCATATTCTAAAATTAACAAAACTCGAAACGTCATCATGAAAACGGATATGGCTCTGTAGCGTGACCTCCAATTCTCCTGTATCGCAAAAAAACCTAGCAGTGAGCACTTTCCTGAGCGTAACCGGGTATAGAATGAAGGCGGCAGGCGAGAAATATTCCAAAATTGAAAACAAATTTATGTGCAATGGTCATTAGCATGATATAGACAATAGAATGAGAGACAATAGATGCAATAAGATGGTGTAGACAAGGTGATTGCGACGAGACTATCGTCAGCCCTGTGAAGGAGGGCTTCATTTCGGCAGCCAGGGGAACTTCTTCTTGAGGTCCGCAGCACCGCCAGTGGGCTCGACCTGCACACTGCGTTGGTAGATGTCCTCTTCGTCCATGGGCATGCGACAGTCGAGAATCATCTCGCGTGACGGTTGGTGCTTCTTGAGGTTCGGGTAGGGTGTGCCTTGGCTCTTCATGAGAGGCAGCAGGACCTCGCCTAGCACCTCAAACTTCTTCCAGTTAACGCGGTCACCCTGCGGGCCAACAAATGTACGGCTTCCTTCTTCGGCACTGACAAGGTCGCGACGATGCAGTGGCATAAAGGGGATGCGCGGCAGTGGCGAGTTCTCCCATGCCAATCGATAGGCAAAGTGGCTCTTTTGTGTGCTCATGAGCAGGACGAGGCGTGCAAAGCTCTTTTGGATATCTGGGTCGACAAGGGCGCGCGTCTGGGCGAGCCGATGGATAGCCGTGCTGTTAATTCCGGCCAGCATGGCGGCAAGGCCGTTGTAGTTGCGCAGCTGGCGCAGACGGAGGGCGATGGCCATGAACTTTTGCAGGCACGGAGCGCGGTGTTTTGCCTTGTCGCGGATAAGGATCATGTTGGATACCCACTTGGCGATATGGTTAAAGTGTGAAATCATGCGGTCCATGTTCCGGAGAGAGCGACACCGTTCCTTCTCCTGTGCGGATAGAGAGACGTGGCGCACGAGGTCACGAATACGGATACTGCTAAACATAATCCAGTCGATGCGAGTAATCTCGTCGGCCACCTCGTTGGCGTCCATATCCATGAAGATGTGGTAGCGGAATTTGTTGAGAGGCAGTGTTGCCATGGGCACCATGGTAGCGGCCTCGCGTTCGTAGTCCTCATACGAGTGGTATTGGAAGTGTGCCAGCCCCCGTCCCGAGCCGAGGGTGGCAGCTAACGTGCCACTACTTCCGCTGGTACTGGCGCCAGCGCCGCCACTACCAGCTTCGCTGGACGGCTGGTCGGAGGACTGCGAGTTTTGGAGCGTGAGAGATCGTAGGCTGTCGGCAGGAGGCTGCTCCTTGCTTGGAGTCGCACCGGCAGCTGTGGGCTCATCCTGAGGCGGGTCGTCGCACTTGGCCCACCATGTATCGTCGTCTTCGGCCACATCGTTGTCGAGGTGCTTCTTGATTTGCTGCGCAGACAGAGTGAAAATGGGCTCGTCGGCAAGGCGGTAGATGAGAACCTCTAGTTGCTTGCGTGACGCTGGACGCGCAAAGTCGCCCGGGTAGAGCGACACCCAACGGTTGAGGACCTCGATGTAACGAAACTGGGTGGCGGTGCGCTCGAGGAAATGGGAAGACTTGTCCTCCCAAGTTTTAGTCAGGGCTGAGATAATGGCTGCAAGTAGTTCGTGTGGTGCGGCGAATTTGCGGTAGAGGCAGAGGAAGACGTCAGAAAAATTAGCGTCGGCGCGGTTCATGGGAGCCGCAAGAAGGCGCTCGACCAGGTCGTTGAAGGGAATTCCAGCTGCCTTGGCAGGTATGTCGAACATGTTGTCGTCATTGCGCTGGAGGATGGGCACGTCCTCGGAGAAGCGGCGCAGGGATTCGGCATCGGACTCTTCAATGTCAAGGAACGAGTCCTGCCCGGCATCGAGCCGGACGCCGGTCGACCGTAGCATGCCTTGTACCGACTGGGCTGATCTCTCATCGGTCATTTCCGCTCCGAAACTGGAGGTATTGATTTGTTGCTGTGCGTTGGGGGAATCGACGCGCGGGGATCGAGAGTTTTGTGAGCGGTAGTAGCCGTCCCGGTCTCCAGAGGTGCTCGTCGTCCCGCCTCGAAGCAGGGACAGATCAGAGCTCGCTCGACTGTGTTTGCCACTGCCTTGTTCGCTACTTTGGGGCCGACCGTTGATGCGGTCGGGTGGGGCGTCCAAGTGGGCAGCGGACGAGGCGGCACGTCGCCGCGTGGTGGTGGTTGACGCCGTCGTGCCAGTCGAATTTGTATTCGCGGTTGTTGTGGCGGGAGCACTCGTATTTGTTGTGGTGGCAGATGATGACGAGTATGTATTGTGGTGTTGGTGGCGATTGTGGTTGTGGTGGCTGTTTGACTTGTCTCCTATCGAACGGAAAGCGATTGTGTTAGAAGTGGCACGACCCTGTCGGATTGAATGAACCGAGTGAGACGCTAAGAATAAAGAAAAGAAAAAGAAAAGAAGGGAGACAAAGGGAAAGCCAGAAAATGAGGGGGCAGAAGATCCCAGTGAGAAACAAACGCCAGGTGGATGGGGGGATATAAGGCTGACGCAATATAGGGACTGTCTGCAGTTCGTAAGAATGAGGTGGTAGTGAGTAGTATGCTTTGCACACCTCGCTCTGTCCGACTATGTCACTCTCTTCTTTCGTCACACCAGCGCAGTCAGTGTTTCAAACCTGGAAATCTTGGAGAAACATGGTAGGAAGGGAGCGGGGCTGGCGAGTGTCATTAAAAAAGACATCGGTACAAGGCGTTCAAGCGTTGCTACGTTGAATGGCAGCACCCTATTGGCTCCAGAAAAGAGATTGGCAGGGGCATGAAAACCAAAGGCAGCTCCAAGAATATCGAAGTCATACCGTGAAAAAGACAGAAAAGTGGTTGCGCCCAGTGGAGGCTTCAAACAAAGGCCACTCGGCAGGAAAGGGAAGAAAAGGAAAGAATTAGACGTAACATGTCTAGTAGGATGAAAGATTTCCTGCACGCGCGGTACGAGAGTAAGGTAGGGGATTGTTTGTGTTTGTGAGCCCGCGTCTGGACAGCAGTGGCTTGAGACCGCGAGGCAAAACGGACACTACTGCGTGTAAGAGTGACGGGAGCGGGGCCGGGAGAGACGTCGAAAACGTAATGAAAAGAGTAATGCGAAGAGAAACGATGGAACGAAACTTGCAGGATAGTTCGGAATCGAACAGATGAGCAAATCACGGGAAATGAGTTAGCTTGCCAAAAGCGGAACAAGGCACCTTGAGGGTAGCATGGGAGCTGGGAATCTTTAAAACAGCGGGAGAGGGCGACGGATGTGGCCAGACAAGCCGAGACATTCAATGTCGAACGGAGTAAGACAGGCGAGGAAGCGAGAGGGCGATGAAGCGAGACGGCGGTAAACGACGCGGCGTTCAAAAGAATAAGACAAAAGAAAAAGACAAAAGAAAAAGACAACAAAAACATCTACTCGGAGAAATGAAAACAAAAGGGACAAACCTTGACGGTTGTACACGGCGGCTAGGACAATCGCCTGCAGACAGTCGCGGGTGTTGCCCGAAACATTGGCGGACGTTTTAAAGTCTGCGAGGATGGACGGGAACAAGTTGGCCAGGCCATCGGCGTTGATTTGGCGGGCGGATTCCGGGTTGTCGCATTTGGTGGCCACAAGAATGGTAGGGAGGTTGGAATTGTGCAGAGCCGCTGTTGTGTCCCCCCAGTCGTCTGGTTAGAAACAAAGTTCGCAGTAATTACAACATGCAAACGGTGATGAACATTGTCACACGTCGCAATAATGCCGGGCGCAACACCACAAAACCAAACCATGGTAGAAAAGAGTGAAGGAAATAAAAAGAGGGACCAGCTCCACCTGCGCTGTTGCGTGGTTTTGTGGCGAGAAATGGTGCACATAAATGATGCACAAGGTGGCTCGACCCCCGTGGCATTGCACATAGGGTACACAAGTGGTGGGCGAGAGGTGTTGGACAAGGGCGCTGATGGTGCTCGCATGAAATATGCACATAGAAAAGGTAGAAGAATAGTAACGGGGAGAAATAAATGGAAATAGAAAAAAATAGAGATAAAAATAGAAAAATAGAAAAATAGAAAAATAGAAAAAAATAGTAAAAAATAGAAAAAAAAAGAAACGACAAAACAAAGTGGACTTACACAGGGTGGGGGGGAGCTCTCGGATGCTGTCCTTGTTCATTACATCATAGAGCATCAATGCGCCGTCAATGCGAGGCACGATATGGCCACTGATTCGCTTGGGCCAGTGGATTTTCTGTTTGGGATCGACGTCGAAATGTTCGAGATCCAGCTCGATCAGGACAACGATAAACGGATTGTTATCGACGTCGGTACGCATAGCGGTAATGCCACCGGTTGGCGGCTTGGACAGGCGCATCGCTCGTTGGATAAAGGACGACTTGCCGACGCCATCGGCGCCGATGACGGCAATGTTGACGGTGGCCATTTTCCTTGGAGGTGGAGGCTGGCACATACATCAGCGACGACCAAAAAATAAATAAATAAAAAGGTGCGCAGAACACAGCTCTTTCCTACCCTAAGACCTTGGTCGTTTACAGTCGCGGATTCCCTTCGAGACGGAGGCCCGGCGGACCTGTCATTGCCGGGGTTGTGTTGTGTATTGGGGCTGGTGGGGTCGGGGCTGGCGGTACCAGCATCGACGCGAGACGAAGTATACGAAATGGCGGGAGGGTCGGGGGGTAGGGAAGGCGTCGAAGGGCCGGGGAGGGTACTGTCGTCGTCACCAAACCAGTCGGTTCCGGCCGTGTGGTATCGCTGGAAAAAAGGATCGTCCAAAATAGAGATGAAGGAATCGCGGATATTGGTTGACGACGGAGGCGGGGGCGGCAGACTCGTCGGGTGCTCCCTTTGTGGCGGAAGCTGGTGTTGAGTAGCTTTTGAGAGCGGTGATTGCGGCGAGGCTCGTGGCGGTTTTGATGATTGCGACAGGGACTGGCTTCTTGCGGTGAGCTGCCGCGGTTGCCTCAGCTCGGGGAGGGGTGCAGAAATGGTATCGATGTCAGAGTCGGACGTCGGCTCCGGGGCGTCGAAGAAGTCTTCTTCACTGTCAGCGTCACCGTCCGGGTCGGCGTCGAGGAAAGTGCCGCTCCAAGGGCCGATCGGCGTGACAGCCGGGACTTGTATGGGGGATATTGTCGGATCTGTGTCGGGGTTGACGGCGGTTTGAAGAGAAGGAAGGGAAGGGTGAGGATGTTGCGGTGGGAGCGATGAAGTAGACGAGGCGGTGACTGAAGCACTGGGCGAAGATGAGGCAGGTGGCGCGGCGATGCTCGGTGGTGCGTCGCCAGGGCTGGCGGATGACGGGGTTCGGCGGCGGCTCTGGGCAGCGGCTGCGGGCAAGGAGCTAGAACTCTTGCGACGTGGTACTCTGCCCAACATGAACAGGGCGCGGTCATCTGGGAGCGTGTGAGTTCGAGCTCGAGGGTTGTTGGACGACATGGCGGGCGACGGTGAGGGTGGTGGGAAGGAATGAGTGAGGGCAGTGGGCGGGTGTGGGGGGTGGAAGAAGATCAGATATGGATTGGGCGGATGACGAAAGTCCGAATGAAAAGGAGTGCCACTGGCTGAGAAGCGAATACGGCGAAGAATAAGGAAATAAGAGAGACTAGACGGGGAAAGATGGAGAACCAGAAGAAAAGGACAAAACAAAGCAAACCGCGACGCAACGAAACGAGACTGATGTGACGGAGAGAATGCTCGACCAAAGACAAAAAAAATAGCACGAAAGACGGAGGCGAGAGAACACAAACAAGGGCACAGCTCCAAAGACAAGAGCGGGTCGGGTAGGAAGGCCAGGGGAGGTTCCCAACACCAGGACCGAAGACAGGGCAATTTTAGGGTGTGGGAATCATCGCGAAAAGGGTGGGGCAAGCGAAAGCAGGTTAGGTAGGTCGAGGCCCGCCGACACCAAGGTGCGGGATGAACGGGGCTCAGTTTGTCTTGGACATGGACGAGGGCCCAACACGAGCGTCGTTGACGGCCACAACAACTGGTGACAGGATGAGACTCGCAGGGGAATATTCACCCATCAAGAAAGAAAAGGAGGAAGGAGGCGCGAGGAGGGGACACGGCGTGCAGTGGTGCAGTGGAGCATCGTCAACTCGAGCTGGTGGAACAGAGTTGACCAAGCACGACGAGGCGGTGGGATCACCAACAAGGGAATAGGGAAAAAGTACGGAAGGGCGATGAAACGGTCCTACTACTGCTAGTGAGCAGCTTGGGAACGTACTAGGACCATGTCACTCCGAGCTGTGCCTTGTAGATGGGGCCATTGAAAGGCAGGCAGTGGGGTCGAAGTAGGCAAAGGCGGCAAGAAAAGGCGGTCGAGAGGAGAGCAGCAATGGTGCTGTTGGCAATGCTGTGCAAGTGCTGTTGCAAGGCTCAGGGTGGGGATGTGGGGATATTGAGTGAAGCTGTGAAGCTGGCCAAAGCCAACAAAAATACGCACCTAGACACCGCCAGGTGTTTGGAAATGAAAAACTGTGTGTGACAGGCCAGCCGCCCAACAGACGGATGTTTGAGGGCGTTGTTTAAGAATTGATGCTTTCCGACGTGCACCAACGCCAATAGCAATTCCAGAGCAGACCCGGTCTCTAATCTCTGGATGTTTCGCTCGATTGTTTGCTCCCGTCTGCCCCTGGTTCCAGCATGCGTTCCTGTCGAACCGAAGAAACCTGCAGTATGCAGGCTGGAGGTGCAGATATGCCGTCGTAGTCCGGCTGCTGCTCTGCAGGGCTTGCAATCAGAGTGATGAGCTGTCTCGCCGTCTGTTCGGTTGGGTGTCTTTTCCGTTTTATCTTTTTTTATCTTTTTCCCCCGTTGCGATGCGACTTGGTCATTCGAGTAATGAGGAGAGAGGTCAGTTCTGGGGCTGGAGTCATGCGTCGTGGACGCTGGCAGACGTAATAGTTCGTGTGTACGGAGTTGGTCGTGATCGATGTGGTGCTTGAGATTGTAAACAACAGCGCTCGGCAGTGGAAGTTACACAAAGATGAGAACGAGAAGGAGACAGCGAGGTTGGCAACGCCTGAGGAGCAGGTGAAAAGCGGTGCGTGATAACGGCCACGCAGAGAGAAGGTGGACAGCAGACGCAAGCGGGAAAGAGCGACGGAGAACCTTGTGCAGGAGAGTGACGAGGGTAATGAGGTAGGGGACAGCGAATACAACCTTGGGTGAAATAGGAAGCAGCAAATGGTAGATTGCCCACGAGGGAACTGAATCGGTCCTGGTAAGAGGAAAGAAGGAGGGGAACGATGCTGAGAGAATGCAGGTGCGAAGCAGGCCAAAGGAAGGGGGACCGGTAGGCAAAGCACCGAAACGGGCAGAAACGTGGCAACCACAAGCCAGTTAGCAGACGACACGGACGGAAAGACCAAACGAGTGGAGAGCTCTTTCTGCCTGTGAGCTGTGAGCTGTGAGGCTGTGTGCAGTGTGATTGATTCATGAGATCAAGGACGGAAAGAGCGAAAGAGCGAAAGAGCGACCCGAACTACAAGTCAATATTGACCATGTCGGCCACACGACGAGAACCAGGAAACCAGGGAACCAGGGAACCAGGGAACCAGGATCGCGCCAATGCACGATGGATGCTGCGCCAGGGGCCAGTGTTGAATACGGCGGTTGGTGTGCTTACCACCAGTCTTTCTTTCGGGTACATGATACGCGGTACAAGTCAACAGTGCTACAAGGTCAAAAAGGTCTTTTTGAAGGACTCTTGTGGTTGTGAGAAGGCACGATCAAGCAAAAGCAGAGTTCTCCTTCGCTCTTACCCTGAAATCGGATTTGTGGTCCGGTGTGTTGGGGGTGCATTTTCTTACCCTCAACTTCACTCTTTCTCATCCGCACCTCGCAAGCTCTTCCCCCTAACCAATCTTCACCAAATGGCCAGGTGAGCGGCCATGAGTCTTTCACACCGGCAATGCGAGCTACCGGCATCCTCGAGGCTGTGCCCTCTGCATCGTGTGCTTGTCTGTGCAGCGCCTCGCGGCCAAGCGTCTCTCCCAATGCCTGGGCCACGTGGGGATTCGACAATTGTGTGGAGACGGAGGAGAAAGCGGTTGATCACCGTTTTTTATTTGCGGCTCACCGCAAAAGGCCGGCAGTTCCAGGCCCACAACGACGCGCTGTCCAGGATTCCCAGGCGGCGCGGTTGACGAAAACTGGGGAGTGCAACCCCCCCCCCCCCCGCGTACGTCTCACAGCTGCATCATGCAAAGACCCTGCGAGCCTGCGCAGATAGAAGAAAGGTGCACCATTGACGAAAGTGTGCATCTCTCCATGAACGTGCTTAGCACAACTGACCTGCGCTCCACGCGACGTTCTCGGGGCAAGACGATCTTCTGTTTTTGCCGATCCATCTTGAAAGAACGGAACCAGGAACAGGCGAGCGGAGAGCAACTCGACTGCTATGGCTATGTCGATATATAAATAGAGCCCTGTCTCGAGAGCATCTTTTGGTCCTGGAAACCGGACAGGCCCAGATGCGGCGGCGCTGGTGCCAGCAAAGCTGTGTGTGGGACGGCCACAGGACGTGAGCACGGAGTATTCTTCGAGGCGGTTTGAAATTGTCAACATGAATCCGATCAATGGTTATGAAGGACCACCGAATGCTTGTCTTACACTACAACAGTTTCGAAGCTGCGTTGTAGCTACAGGTCGTCTTTCACCCTATCTTATGGAAAAACAGCCTCTTCTTTGAAGCAAATTCGGTATGATATGGGTCGCACCGGCCAAGATCTGCGCAAGTCGTCTAAGAACATTGATTCGGTCATTCTACTATCTGGACTACCCGTCGACTCTTTAGACACAGCGTATCTTCCCGACAAAACCTGCCTGCAGGCCAGATCAGCATCGACAGATCCAGTCCAGGCCGTTCTATGACGATGTGCTGGATAGCGTCCTGTCGAGTTCTTTATTTCAACGTCCGGCCTCTGCAATCTTCCCCACAAATGTCAGATCGCCTGCAGCTTTCAGACTCGAATCGAACAGATCTGGATCGATGTCGTTCTTATGCACTCCCGTTTTATAACGATTTCCTCCGCCATTACCTTTGCTTTGTTATATTTTTCTATTTCCATTCGTCATCACATCTTCACAGCAGCGCTTTTCGCATCCCGTCCGATACTTCCCTGATCAGCTCACGCCCTCATATATTTCTTTTGTCACTTGTTCCAAGCTCGTCGTTTCAACGTTCTCCAACTTTCTGCACCGGAATTCCTTTCGATGCCTGTTTGTCCACTTCCATGTCTCACTTATTTCCCTATCCGCTTCGTCTTTTACTGATTGCACACATTTGCCCCCTCTTATCTCTCCGCGCCTGGTGTTTCGACCAGCATCCACTGGCATGTATGTCGTCGATGTCTCTCTTCCCCTTCATTCCTCACTCAGGCACCCACACATTTTCTTTCGGCCTTTATGCTTTGCCCGTTTACAGTCATTGTCTGTGCCTCCAAACAACCGGATTGTCAACCCTAATCCCAATGCAGGAAGGTCTTTTGAGACAGAGCAACCAGGCAAGTTGGCGACGAAGAGAGACATCGAGTGGCATGCAAGACATTTACAGCGCGCCCAGAACATCGAGAAACAAAAATGTCTCCCATTTCTGCTGCAAACGTCCACACTTGCGGAGAGTCTGCTGTGTCTGCCCTTCACTCGCCGATAGTTTCCCATGGAAAAGGGGACGGAAGATCGCGATCTGTTACATAAGGCCCAAAACGGCCTACAAAACCGCAACAAGAAGCTTTACTTGGGTGTTTGGCATGCGGAACTTTCTTTTTCGCATGCTGCGTCCACCTGAACGTCAAGCATCGCTCTCCTCAGCATAGATACGTCACTTTTGTACCGCAATTACGTCCGCATTTGATCGTTTCTTCCATTCATCAGCAGCCTATATCTTGATCCTGTCGTCCTCGTCCTCTGTGTTTTCCTCTCTTCTCTTCCCTTCCCTTCCCCATCCCTTCTCCAAAGGCAAGTCGCAATCACATCGCTGTATTACCGCTTCTGCTATAGCCCTGTCGACCTATATTCAACCCATCTTCATTATCTCATATCTCTCCTCTTTCCGCCTCACTGCCATTGCCTTTTTCGCCTGTGCGACGGCCTCTAAGCTCCGAATCGCCCTATCTGGAAACATCCGTGCATCGCGCCTCGCTTTTTATTTTCTTAACTAAAACGAGAACATCTCCGTCACATTTACTTTTCAATATTTATCCTCCTCCACCTCTCTTCCCCCTCCCTGCAATGCGTTACGAGTCAACAATGATGATGGCCGGTCCCACCACAATTGCAGCGCCCCGGATGGACCAGCCTACCGGTGTCCCTCTCTACCACGCGGTGCCGACTCGCCGTCCTTCTCTCCCTTATCAGCCTTCTTCTGGCTCCTATGGCTCGTTTGGCTCCTTCGGCTCTTTAGCTTCATCGTCCTCGCAGCAGCAACTGCACCGCCGCAGCAGCTCTGCAACCACAGCCAGCCTCAGCCGCCATCGCCGCAGCTCCCAGTATCAACACTACCAGCTGCAACCGCAACCCCAGCCAATACAAGCGGTGCAGCCGCAGTTCTTGTTCTATCCCCAAATCGTTCCCTACCAGCAGATGCCATATCCTCAGCAGCTGCCTTATCAACACCAGCGTGTGCACAACCTCCTGCACAGCAGTGCCGCCAGCAGCTACCAGGTACTTCCCTACCACTACTCGTACCAGCCGGTGAATCAGCCTGTAAACCAGCTCGGTCCTGTCCACGGTCACGGCCAACCGTCGCAAAAGCACCACCTCCGCCGCCAGCAGCATCTGCTCCCGGACGCGCCGCCGTCGTCGTTGCAGCACTCGTCCTGCCCGTCCCTCTCCTCCAAACAGACGCTCGCGGCTCTGCAGACGAAGCAGGCCACGTCCCAAGCAGAGGCCCAGGTCGCGAGCACACAAATGGCTCTTTTCTCAGGCTTCTCGCTGCGTGGCAGCCAGCAGAACAAGGCAGCAGACGGTGCTGCACAGAAGAAGCAGGAGACAAAGCAAGACAAGCAGGATCAGGACAAGGCACAGGCCAAGGATACGACAAAGTCCAAGACCGTCCTCCACGCCAGCGCCCCCACCGTCAAGCCGCCGTCCCGCAAGAAGGACTCCGTCGGGCGCAACCGCGGGCCCGTCGACGCCAAAGACCTGACCAACCGTTTGTACACCATCCTGGCAGAATGCGGAATGCAAGCGGCCGCCAACACAAGCAGTGCGCCGCCGCTGTCGCCGCTGTCGCCGCTCTCACCACGGTCACCGCTGGAGGCGGCGCCGCCCCAACTTCCCCCGCAAGGCGTCGTCGGCGCCGACCGCAGCGGCCAGCGCATCCGGTCGCGCGGGTCGGGCAACCTGCGCGCCTTGTACGCGTCCAATGTGCCTATCGTGCCCACCACAGGCGGAGGCGGAGGCAGCATCCGCCGGCAACCCTTTTCCGCGCCCAACGACCTCAACACACTGAGCGAGCTGGTCCCACCGCCCAGCATGGTCGATCTGCAGCGGCGCAAGCACCGGACACGGTCGCTGTCCCCGAATGAGGTATATATGCGTGGTGGCGGGCCAGCCGGCACGACGGGCGCGAAGCTGCCGTCACCCATGGCACCGGGCTCGTTCGGCCAGAGACGCTCTGTGTCGAGCACGATCCAGCCGCCGCCCAGCGCGCAACACGGCATGCCGTACATTCCCAGCCAGGCGGCGCAGCAGTTTGCGCGCACCACCGCCGCCGCGGGCAGCCCGCGCAAGTCGGCACGCGTGCCAAAATCAAGGGGCCAGTCACCCAAGGAGCCGTACTCGCACAATCAGTCGGTGTCCGTCTCGCCACCATTGTCTCCCAAGAGCAAGCCGTCACCGCCGCTGTCGCCAAAGACGAAACCCTCGCCGCCCGTATCGGCCAAGTCGCCCGCAATGCCCTCGCCGGCGCGCTCACCGAGAGTGCAGCACGCCTTCAAGGACACGCTGGCCGAGCCGGGTAGCCGGCGCCAGAGTCAGAAGGAGGGCGCAGAGGCTGCCGCGGCTGTGGAGGATGCACCCGGCGACGCAGACGAAAAAGCCGAGGAGGCGGCCGTTGACGGTGCTGCTGTGGAAGGCGCTGCCGCCGATGAGGCTACAGAGAACGCCGATGACGAGGCCGAGGCCGAGGCCGAGGCAGAGGGGGGTGCCGATGCCAATGCCAAGATGGCCAAGGCAGCAGCCACGAAAGCGATGGCAGCGGCCGACTTCCGCCGTATTGTGCAGGAGCACAGCGTCGACTGGACGCAGAGCGACGAGGCCACGGTACGCCGCAAGCAGGCGAAGAAGGAGAAGAAAGAGCGCGAGAAGCGCGAGAAGCGCGAGAAGAAGGCCAAGCAGCAGCAGCAGCAGCAGCAGCAGCAGCAGCAGCAGGCGGGCGATGAGGCCCGCCCACTGTGGCGGCTCAAGGCTCGGCTGAGCAGCTTCTCCAAGGACAAGCTCATGCCGTCGCCGCCCGCCACGGCGGTGGCGGTGGCCGAGGAAAAGGAGGACAAGGTTGCACCGACTTTGGCAGCGACCGTCGCGGGGGAGGCATCCAAAGTCCAAGAACAGGTTCTAACCGCCGGAGGTACCAAGGAGGTGCCCGGGGTGGTTGAGTCTGCGGCGGGCGAGCCGACGTCGAAGTCGTCGTCTGTGCTGTCGCTGACGGCTTTGACCAAATCGTCGTCGTTCCTGTCTCGATTCAAGTTTTAGTTTTAGTGTTTTCTTTTTATTAAGTTTGTTTGCATTTGTCTTTCCGTTCTTTTGCAGCGTTTCTAGCATAGCCTCGCGTCCTTTCGATTCACACGCGCGTGAACCTTCTTCGGCGGTAATTTGAGGACGGAGAGTGGAGGGGAGGAAAGAAAATGCACCATTTGATTCCAACCAAGAAAAACAGCGCCAAATGAAAATGAACGTCAATACATACCGCTACCAAAGATTTTGAGGTGTATGCTCATCCAAACGCGTATCCAATACTATGTTTCCGTAACGGCGCTTGGTGGCCGGTTCTCAGTGCCGGCCCTCGGCATCAAGAAGCGTCTTGATCGCCTGATTGGCCTCGACGGCAAGTTCGTCTCGCACGACAGCGGACACGTCGTGGACGTGAACATTGCTGTCGCCGCTCCGGGTGCCCGTGCCCGTACCCACACGGTCGTCGGCATCGCGTGCCAGCAGGTACGTCACAGTTTCGCAGTAGGCGCGCACCGCGTCGCCGTCCTCGCTCGGGTCAACGCGGGCCCGCCGCAGCGCCTTTTGGCCCTCGCGGAGGCCCATCTCCTTGGTCCACGGCCTGCTGGACATGCCACCACCACCACCACCACCGCGACCGCCCCGGCCGCCTCCGAAGCCGCCTCGGCTGTTTTTGTGCTGCAGGCGCATGGGCAGGCCAGGGATTGGGGCCTTGTTTCCACCACCGCCAGATTTAGGCGGTTGCGTGGCTTCGTAGATGGATTTTAAGCGCTCAGGGAGCGTTGGGTATTTCTCAAAGAGGTGGCGAAGCTCGGGGGCGTCGTCCAGGACGCGGAACGGGTGTACAGGCGGTGCGGGTTTCGGGGGCAGCGAAGGCACTGTCGAGGCCCCTGGACGAGTCGACTTTGTCTTGTCCTCGTTGGTTGGGGCATCGGGCGGGTGGTTGTCGCGGTGGATGCGTGAGCACGTTACGGAGCAGCTGCTGTCGTTAGTCGAGCTCATCATACCTCTTTCCCTCGTCTCAAAGAACCAAGACAACATACTATGCCAACGGACACCGTGAACATTTATACTTGGACGGCTCCTTATTGCATACGCCGCATACGGTACGGCGCTTGGCTGGTGGTGTTATCGTCTCGTTGGCCTCGTCTGTGGGTGCTTCTTCGGCTGTCTTTCGAGGCGTTTCTATGTGTGTGCTCGCCGCGCCACCGTCCACAGCAACAGTACTGTCCTCAGTCGTCTCCCCCGCTGCCCGATCGAAGCTCATCGGTGCTGACCGTTTGCCGCCCGCTGGAACTTCGGATGATGCTGTCGAAGGTGCAGCTGCCGCTGTCTCGCTGCTAATATGAGACATGGGGGATTGTCCGCCTTCTCTACTCTCATCCGCCGGCGCTGGGGTGCTATTTTCCTCAACAGGCGGTGGTGAGGACGGCATTATGTGTTGTCGTGTACTTTTGGCTCTGGTTATTCACTCGTTGCTATCGTTGCGTTGTGCTATCGCCTCATGAATGGGAATAAGTCGGGATTCAGAGCTTTGAGCTTTTCGTTGATCGTTAGTTAGGAAAACAGTGATGACTAATCGTAAGTTTTGTCTTATCTTGTCTTATCGGTTGGGGAGCTCGTACCAAGAGCTTCTCTCGAACGACACAAATGGACTGACAAAAGAAAAGTTTGTGAATGCCAGTGCCCTTTGTTATAATTATTCTTTTTCGCAGGGTTGAAGCGAATATTTCAAATTTGTTCTTGATCCATGCTATTCTCTGAAAATGCCAAAATGTTTAAAACGCCGGTAAACAAAACGGAAAAACATAAATGGTAAAAGAACCATGGACAGATCTTTGAACCATATTTCACTCCCATGTCCTCCAAGCTGTACTGTCCCAGCCATCTGTCAGAAGCCATGACAGAATATGATGCCGATCCCCCTCCGCCATAACCCTGATAGCCCTGTTTTGTGTATTTGCGCATCGTGGTAGCACGTGGTATGTAACTGACAGAAAAACAAAAAAAACATGCATAGATAATCGGATAATAAACAACGGGGGATGAAATAAGACAATGCTACGCAAAATGACACGGAGCGAGAAAACGAAAGAAGAAGAAATTGCAAAAAATGCGTATACGGTGGAAGCATTACCACCCCGGCTTGTCCTCGAGCTTGTCGATGCGCTTTTTCCAAAACTCAAAGGACGAAAAGAAGATGGCGTTCAGGACACAGGACCGCGTCATGGACACGCCGAGGCCTCGGTACATCTGGCGCTGGAAGAAGTGGATCTTGACCGGCTTCACCTTTTGGCCTTTCGAATACAGCAGGGCATTTCGTTGGTATATGCTCTTGGCCGAGTCGATTGGGTCTGTGGGGTCAGCACAACGTTCATTTGTTTTACCAGGACTCGGACGAGAGTGCCTCGCCAAACATACAGATCAGAGACCACGATACGATGCCGCACAGGCCACCTGCAATAAAAACGGGCAGAGTGCTTGACTGGGTCGCGGAACCGGCGAACGTTGTGAGAAGCTGTTTGCTGCTTTCGTATGTGATGAAATACAGGCTTGTGCCGAGTGTGTCTCGTACTGTAAGGTGTTAGGAACCATAAATGTCGTACTGGCCGTGAATTATGAAAGGGGAGCGGGGTGCAAGGGAGAAACGAACATAAGTGCAACCGGTAGCCCGTATAAAGGCCTGTGAGTCCTCGATGGCGAATGATATTTGCCATGGTCTTTAAAGTGCCCTTATTTTGGTAGCTAGAAGCCACGGCGCGGCTGCGTGAGTCGGGACATTGCGTCTTTTCAGACAGCAAGACTGACACTTGGGCGCTCAGTTTAGTCAATTCGAACGGACCTGCGAGTGGCGGTAGTTAGCAAGCCTGTCTATACGCCCCCCCCCCCAAAAAAAGGTGGAAAGAATACGCACAGGCAATGACCGTGATGCAGGATCCTGCCGTGGCACCGGCCGCACCAAAACAGGCAACCGACCAGAGGTTTGGGTAGGTGCCGTGCGTATTGACATGCTTGAGGACGTCAAACCCAAAGTTTTTGCTCAACCAGTCCGAGTATATGTATTTGGCGCGCTGGTAGATGGAAAACGATATCGTCCGTACAATCGTGACGCTTGCCAGAGGTGCCGTTACACCTAAAAATGGACAAAAAAGAAAATCGCAGTTAGTCGCTTCGCTCTGAGTGACAATCGAGGTGCGCGCCACCGTATTACAGCAGGGCCATGGAGAAAAGGGAAAAAAAAAAAAAAAAAAAAAAAAAAAAAAAAAAAAACCAAACCTCGGAAGAACCCCCGCAAGCCTTCATTGGCGTATGTGTGCCTTAAACAGTCGGTAAAGCCATCGTATTTGTAAGTCTGCATGCGCGTCTTAACGCTGTCGAGTGGAAAGGCACAGGCCGTGCTGATGGCGCTGGACAAGCTGGCGCTGACTTCGGTCCGGTACCGCTTCACCCATCGTTGGGGCGGTACTTTGGACTTTGAAGAGTATGGAGGGGGGGAGGGAGCAGGAGAAGCGGCGGGAGCCTGGCTCGCGGCTATGGCTGAGGAAGCGGGTGTAGATGTGTTGCCGCCGCCGCTACTGCGGTTGTTGCTGCCACCTTGCGGGGACATGATGGGACGGCGGGATGGGGCCGTGGGATCATCTTGGGCTCGACGAGGGCAGTCGGTCATGCTCCGCGCCGAGAGGGGTCCCCGAAGGAGGTGACAGGGGACGTCGAGCGCGCCGCAATCGCAGAGGGGAAGGTTCGAGGTCGTAATCGTCCGGAGAGGGGTTAAAAGGAGGGTCGGTCAGGGGATGTAGACGGCGCCCAAGCGATGTCGTGATCGAAAAAGACCCTCCTCACTCTAGCTTGGCAAGCGTCGGAGTGAAAGAGTTGTTGAATCTAGAGATACGTCGATGCGAGCGCGTATGTTGTTCTCGGTAGCTCCGTCTCGGTCCAGAGGGAGCGCTCGCTGTACCCTGCGAAAGGCGCACTGAGCACTGCAAACACGCAGGAGTCGTCGGAGGCCGGTGGTCTTGCTGGACGGGTATGGTTCGCTTGAAGTCGCCTATTACCGGTAGTCCTGGTATGCCCTGCTGTTTCGTGCTGCACCAAGGCGACAATGCCACAGCAGACACAGCTTCTAAAAGACCTCGATATAGATAGCCACGTCGTGTCAAAACCGAATGCGAGCACAGGCACACTCTGCTATGCGGCGCCAGCGCACTATCAGAACAAGACGGCTCGGACGATAGATTGGCGGAGTCGGTCAAGTCGGGCCAAGGGCGAGAGAGAAATGGCCGAGACAAAAGGGCGATGAGACGAGGAGCACACGAGCTGAGAGGATCAATATCGTTGTAATGGCGAAGAGGGAGAGAAGGGAGGCAAGAATGAATCAAACAAGCAGCAAAGAGGACAAGAAGAAAGAGCGTCTCAGTCGAGCTGCCGCTTGTTTGGCGGAATTGGATTGCTGCAGACTGTATATCGTACCGTTTGATTGGCCAGCCGGCCGACGAAGCTGCCGTAAATGGGTTGGCGGAAAGAGGGGGCCTGCAGCAATTAGCACTGGAAGGCACGATGGAGCGAGTGACGGACAGCAGGGAAAGAGCGATGTGCAGCGGGGCAGCATCTGCAAGTTTGAAGCAGGTGCGATAGACGAAGGCCAGAGAAGACAGAGAAAAAGGCACATTCTAAAGGACAAAGAAGACAAAGAAGACAAAGACAACAGCAGGCAGAACGACACGCAGACTGTATTTCTAGCGGTTTCAATATTCGCTCGACGTCTCGTTTTTGTCGCTCGTCTCCCCTCGTTGTCGGCACGGTGGCCAAGCCGCCCTACCCAATGTCGAAAAATGACCAAAGTAGAAGACAAAAGGCCCTGGGCTTGGGTTGGGTTTGGCCGGTCTAGGCTCGCTGGGTGGGTGCTACTTGCCCTAGCGGAGCCCCGAACACAAAGCACGAAAATACGAAGTTCTGGGGAAGGAACATCTGATAGCAGCCGAGCTACAGCCGAACCCTCCGCTACAAGACGGAACCCGGGGCTCCTTCGGGGACAGTAACGGGGAATAACTTGGCGAAAGAGGGATGCCACGTGCCAATGCTATGATTTCATCGTTTGTCTCAAGTCTTTCTGCTTCTCAACTTATTTATTATGTGCAGCATGTCCGTTTTCTTTTACAAACCCCAACTTCAGCATCGCACTCTCACGTTCCTACCTGCACAAACTATCTGGCTCAACCGACGTCATCTGTCCTAGCTGGCATTCCCCTCATGCAGCCCGCCAATCACAATCACCCTTCACCAGACAGCCGTCAATGGCAGCAAAACACACGACTCTCGAACCTGGGAATTTTCACATGAGGGTGCATAAGCCATTGTTCCACTGTATGTGACGCGTGTACACTTGAATTCGATAGTTCTCCAAGCTAGCAATAATGTATTGCTTTATTTGTAGCGCCGTTACATCCATATAATGCATGTATCCGTGGATGGCAGATCGCACAGTTGCGCCACCAGAATGCCTGCTTTGCAGCTGGCGGCTGCACACCTGCAAGCTGCACTTCCAGAGCGCAGTTGAGTTATCGTGATATAGGTCCGCCATTGTGTAGGTGACGACGCTTCTGCTTTGACTTGACGGTTTTGTGGCTCGACCAGAGGCGCATAGCGTCGTAGAGAGTATCGTTGGGAGAGAGGAGAGGTCCGTCGAGGAGCAAGAGCAGAGACCAGTGTCTGCGGCCAGTGTCTGCAACCAGTGTCTGCAATGAGAGGAGCGGAGATGGTATCGTTCGGCCTCTCTTCTCTTCTGTCTTTCGAGGTGAATTTGGAAGAATAGAGAAATGTCCTAATATCGTTTCAAGGGTGGCTACACTCGAATTTTCGCCTCAAAAGATCTTCACCGTAGGCACAGTCTCATTTGCTTGTTGAGCATTGCAACAGTTTCGTCGTAGTGATCGTATGCCGTCCGTATGAAAGGGTCACTAAACGGTTAGCCCTAAGTAAACTTTTTTTATTAAAAAAAATAAAAATAAAAAAGAATGGCACGGCTTCATTGAACGCACTCTGGCTTCGGCTTCTTCTGCTGGTGCACGACCTTCCACGGCGCCTGCCGCGCGGCCGCCTCCTTGCGCCGCCAGTACGCCGTCTTCAGCAGGTTCCGGAGGATCTTGTGCTCGATGCCGCGGTACTCGGCCGCCGAGTTGAGGAACCAGACGGTGCGGCGCACGGCCTCGGGGTCGAACGGCTGCGCACCCTCGTTGTTGGCCGCGCTCGTCAAAGTGGTGCGCTCACCGCGAAAGGCAGCGCGCAGTTGGTCGCGGACGACATAGCGGGCGGGTTTCGAGAACTGGACGGCGCGCAGGGCGCTGCGGTAGAGGCGGCGGTAGGCCTGTACGAGCTCGGCGCTGGACATTGTCTGTGCCCGGGGTCGGCGTTGCGTGTGATCCGATTGTTTGTTTTGGCGTGGAGGGAAGGTGAAATTCGTCTCATACGTCCAACGTTGAGCCTCGTGCTCAAAGCGTCTCGGAATTTCACGAGGCAGCGGGAATTGTGGGGCACAAGCTTTCATCGTAACTTCACCAGCCAATCAGAGAGCTCGGGCCGTTGAAACCAGCTTCGGTCTTCATTACAACATGAGACGAAAGAAGAAATTGACATCTCTTCAGAGTTATGTCCGTTCATTGCGGGGAAATAAAAACTCCATAAGGAAGCCATCCTTGGCCTCTTATCATGGTACATGATGTCCAATAACCGCAAATCCCTCTCCAGATTGGGGATTGCCAGCCTCTTCCCATCCCGCAAAAGAAAATACATTGCGCTGCCACATCAACTCTTGTGTGACGTGCGTCTATATGCAAAAATGAATCCAAACAGAGAATAGAGAAGGACGAAGAAAAACAGGGGAACCAACGGAAAATGAGACGGGACTGTTTAGAAAGACACCTGGCAAACGTAACGCCAACGCTTGGCTCGTTTGGTTGTTCACTTGTTCGCTCGCTTGACTCGCACTCACTACGAAGCACTACTTTTACTCCTCACCCTGGCCAAGGGGCGCATACTTGCCGCCGCTCTCGCTCGGGTTCGGTGACGAGCCGCCGCGGAAAACACCCACGCGCGACAGCCAACCCGAGACACCACGGCTCGAGCCACCCTCACCGCCACCGCCGCCACGGCGACTTGCCGGCGCCTCGTGGAGAGACGACGGTGGGTCAATGTTGAGGCCAGGGATGGCGCTGGAGGGGCCGAACTGGCCGCGCGACGCCCGCAGGTCGAGCGACGGCACAGGCGAACCAGGCGCCAAGAGCGCACCGGACTCGGTGTCGCCGGGGACAGGCGTGCCAATGGAGCGCGGCGTGCCCAATGTAGTGCTGGCGTCGCCGAACAGCGAGTCCATCTCTTCAAGACGGACACCACACGTTTCAGGATAGAAAAAGTACACTACATGGGTCAGCACGTGCTCGCAGCGTGAGGGACAAAGCGCAGTGACAAGAAATACATACCGACAACGAGACTGAGAGCACAGAAAAAGGCGTGCACCAGGTAGAGCCGCCATGCGATCCACTCTTGCAGAATCGGCGTCATCTCACCCACGAGCCAGTTGAAGGCCCAGTTGGTGGCTGTGGACAGACTGGCGCCCTTGGAGCGGATGCTCAGCGGCAGAATCTCCGGCGGGTACAACCACGGGATCGGGCCCCAAGAGTAGCCGAATGCAGCATTGTAGATCATGACAAAGGCCACGACGTAGATGCGCGTGGTCGGTAGATCCAAAAAGATAAAGTACGAGATCAACGAGAGTGATATGCACATGGCCAAGGCACCCGTCAGCAGAATCACGCGGCGGCCCCAGCGGTCCACAATGTACCAGGGCGGGATGGTCGACAACAAGTACGTGATACCGTTGATGCCAGTCATCAGCACAGCACTGTGGCCCACCCAGCCGGCAGACTCAAATACGTAGGGTGCGTAATACGAAATGACGTTGATGCCGTTCAACTGGGCCAGAGCCTGCGCGGACATGGCGATCAAGACACGCTTCTTGTACCGGCGGAACATTTCCGAGTAGGTACGCTCGCCCTCCTGACGCTGGATCAGCACGTCCATCTTGATCTCGCGGAACTCGTCACGGGCCTTGGGGTTGTGGATGTCGCCGCCGCCGTACAGGTTGGCAATAACGACAATGCCCTCCTCGTCGAGGTCGTTGTCGAGCAGCCAGCGAGGGGACTCGACAATGATGAGACTGCCCAGACCGAGCAGCGCACCCATAATGCACTGCATCAGCAGCGGGATGCGCCACGACATGTTGCTGTCGATGAAGCCGCAAAAGTAATCGACCCAGACCGACGTGGTGTAGCCGATAATGTTGCCAGAAAACTCAATGCAGGCCAGCTTGCCGCGGTTGTGTGGGGGCGAAATCTCAGACTGGTACACGGGGACGATGGTAGACAGCATGCCGACACCGAGACCAGCGATGATGCGACCAAGCATCATCATAGCCATAGACGTGGCCAGCGTCTGCAGAGCGCCACCCGTAAAAAATATGATGGACCCGTACAGGATGGTTTTCCGGCGGCCAATGATGTCACCGACACGGCCGACCACGAGAGACGAGATGAAGGCGCCAATCTCGAGGATAGCCACCATGGTACCTACCTCCGCTTTGGAGGGGTTGTTAAAGTAGTCTCTAAAGAAACCGCCTCTGGTAAGAGTGTTAGGAAGGACCAAGTCAAGTAGAGGGAGAGTCAGTGAGACGTGGGGGGGGGGGGGGGGGGGGAGAACCTACGTGATGATGCCAGACATAACACCCTGATCATATCCGAACAAGAACACGCCGAGAGACACGAAAATGCTCGTAAAGTAGCTGGAGTTGGGCGGTTAGCATATTTTCGAGGGCACGGGGACCATCGGCACTGTACAAAAGGACATACATCAGGGGTTTGCCGGTGAGGCCATGGATGGAAGAGGAGCCGCCGGTCATGATGGAAGCGAGGATGCGTTCAACCGCGGAGACGCGACGGACAGCAGTATCGGGGATGCGGATGGCTTCCTTGTCCACGGCGCCAGCGTGGTGACGCCGGTGGGGCGAACTGTCGGAGTCGCTCGCGTCGTCGTAATGGACGCGTTTTGTGCTGCGGCGGGCCTTGTTACCGGCGGCCGAGGAGTGGTTCTGTTTCAAGACACCAGCAAGGGTGTCCTGGTCTATGTTATCGTGAAGGCGGGCACGGACGGCCGGGGCGTTGTCGCCGTCTTCGGCAAGCTGCTCGGCGATATCGGCAGTGTCGAGCCAGGACTCGTCGTCTTCGTCGGAGGAGGAGTAGTCGTTTTCGGAGTAGTCGCCGACAGAGGAAACGGATTCGCGTTTAAGGTGGCTTCGTCGGGAAGACGAGGCGGCGGGACCGGACCGGGTTGCGGCGGACGACGCGAGGAGGGAGGTCCCCGACTGCCGGTCAGCGTACGCGCGGGAGGCCGACGAGGCGGAGGAAGCCGAGCCTGAAGAGGAGAGGGCACGGAGAGGAATATTGGACGGCAGTCGGCCCGGGCTGGAGAAGGAAGGAATCTTGAAGAAGATGGGGGCTGTGAAGCGGCAGCGCCCGTCCGCGAGTCTTTAAAAGGATATGAAGGGAGAGAGAGGGAGGGGGGGAGGGTAAGGGCAGAAAGAATAAAAAGGTTGACGGAGAGCAGGACGAAGAAGAACGGGTAGACTTTGGCACGGGATGCCCAAGTGTGGGTATAGGCTGCTGCTCGAGGGTGGGGAAAGCGAGGAACGAAGGGGTGGAAACGAGTGAATCAAGGCATCAACAGCAGATGACCGACCGGTGCGTGACCTATCTCAGCCGGCTCGCCGATGTGGGTTGTGCAGTGGCAGCGCGTGCGGCGGTGCGGAATGCAGTCATGGAGCGACAGAAACGAAATAAGGATAACAAAATAATTTGAATCGGAAAAAGAGGCTGATCAGAACTGCGCAGAAAAAGTGTGCTGTTTGTCGGCTTGGCCGTACTCGGCTTTGCTGACTATTTGGCGATTTAACGGGCCTCAAACGCGATTGGTTCGACGGTTGGGGGTGTCGTGCTGTCCACGGTTGGTCTTCCAACAATCGGGCCTCGAATGTGTCGGAGTCTTCGGGATGCGGGGAAGGGGGTCACGATGACAGGGTGGCCTCGCAGGAACGAGAGAGTATATGGAACAAAAACACAACACCCATAAAAGGAGAAAAAAATGGCAACAACTGTGCTGGCAGAGAACCAGGAAGGCACGAAGGGGCGGTAATGTTCATCAATATTAGAACAGTGCGGACAAACTGTGCAGTTCGGTTACCTTGGGCTTACACATACTACAATATGGGCGCCGCATACAGTGCTCTTTTGCGTCGGCAAGCCTCACCACTGTGCTGAAAAAATAGGGGGCTCCTTCTTAGCGCTCTCCACGCTTGGCCGAAATCCAGAGAGGCGCAACGCGGCGCGAGGCAAACTGCCCAGGGTCTGATCAACTTTTTTTGTGTTTTTCTTTTGCTAGCCGAGGGTCCCTGAGAATCAATGGAACAGGTACGATTGAAGGCGCATGTTTTGTCGCGGCTGCAGACACGACAAAGTGTTTCCCTCAGCCCGAAAACACGGGGCACGTGTTATCGAGTGCGTTTTGGACGACGTTCGTTCGCGGCTTCCGCCTCTTTGGTCCCAAGTTGCCGGATGACGTAGTTCCTTCCCGGTCTTTGTCGTTTTTCCAGACCAGTGGGGGTGGGTTCGCCGCTATCCAAAAAGGCACGATCAAAACGGTGTGGTGTGCCGACCTGCCAGGGCAGGCGCGCAGAATCGCGCAGGAGGCCCCCGCACCGGGCCTTTCCCTTTTCACGATTCACGAGAACCGACCGGCTGTTCTCAGCCTTTTGTTGCCCTCTATCGCAGGCTTTCCAGTCCGCCACTGGGGCCACAGGACGCAGGACGACTTGCCGGTTATTCTCAATAGCCGAAGAACAGGGACCCAGCTTCGCTACAGCTGCTGCGTCTGAGCCTCTTCGCGCCCGCGGGCCGGTTCGTTGTTCGGACAATGCTAGGCGGCAAGGTTTCCTTTCCTGGCATTTGCCTTTGAAGAGTATATTTCCAGATCGATGCTGCTGTCCGTGGTTCCTTGGGCAACTTGGCGAGTTTAAAAAGAGGGCCGAACAGGACACGGACCAGCCCATCCCATCCTATCCCGCAGACAACGATATTCGCAGCCCAGCGCGCTACATCGGCGAAGCCTAGCATGACCAGAATCCTTTCGATTTTCCAAATGGCACCAGGGCAAAAGGAACAGTCAAAAACTCTCTCTCGCCGGGAATTGAACCCGGGTCCCGGGCGTGACAAGCCCGTATACTGACCACTACACAAGAGATGCTTGTGATCGCCTGATACGAGGCCTCGCCGAGTGCCCAAATCGCTTTTCTCTTGGTGTGTGGCTTGGTCTCGGAGGTGCATATTGTAGCAGACAACCGCGGCCGACCAGGCTAGGAAAACTACAGAGGAAAGTTCCCCGACAGGTTGTCTTCGCAATGAGACTCATGCTGCACGGCTGCTGTTGCATTCTATAAAAAGAATCAGACGAAGGACAGCGGCCAAGAAGGCAACACTACGAATAAAGAAAACGCCGCTCACTGGGCAACGAGTCATCATCAGCCTCATGCGACCATAGAGTCGTCATCCAGCAGCATCCTTTGCACAGCCACACGTGAGACGGGCTTGACTTCGTGTCCCAAATGCGGTGCATGATGAGCGACGGAGCATGGAACACAACCATGGTGCCGAGACAGGTATTTGCTTCTCAACACTCCAGGGGCCATTGTGGAAGTACGCCTTTCTTGGTGTGTTTCAGGGCGCCGTTTATGACGGGGAATGGTGAAGTTACTTTGATGGCGGCACAACGTTTAAAGTCGAGGACGAGGCAGGCCATCGAGGCTGTATCAAAACGGAGGTTCTCCTGGTCTGATCTAATTCAATTTCAGTCCCATACAGAATACTTGATCATGCACGACGTCCATACCCTGGTACCTTTCGCCTAGATTCGATCTTGTTTGTAGGGGTCCAAAGCCCAGAAATTGCAAAGCCTGAGATGGCATGGGTAAGTCGTTTCAAAACAAATGATTAATACTGCAAAGAAAAAAAAAGCCAATGCCCATTGCCTCTCTCGAAAAGGAAATTGGATGTGTGAGGCCAGAGAAGGGCGCCGACACAGGGAGGGTCAACGATGCCACGCGAAATGAAAGCAGGAAGAGGACGATGCTCCTTTGGGCCAATCGTATGCCGAGATTGTAGTATTTCTAGTGCGCTTGTGACTGCCTCCTCTGGTTCTTCTCCAGATCCTCTCCCTTGCCACGAGCCGCGCAAATTAACATCATCTCGTTTCGGGTGCTTTTTGAGGCGGCTCCCAGTCTCGATTTTCGCCAATTCCTCGTCTCGCCTTGTAGCGCTGTTGCACTACACGAATTAGTGAATTATCAACGACCGTGGTCATATTTTCAAAAGATTCGTTCATCACAAGATTTTCTCAAATTTGCTAGTCCAACGTCGTATGTCTTCACTCTTCTCCGCGTTACGAGGTTTACTTATACGCACATGCGTCTGTGGCTACAACATACTCGACAGTGGCTCCCTGTTTGTTATTTGATTGTTGAGTGCATAACAGTCCCTTGCTTAACGAAAGAGGTTGGGAGACGCCTCTTGTTGATCTTTAAAGAATACCAATAACGTGAGACATGACAGAGCTACTTCTAATGTTAACCTTTTCTGTGCGGTGGTGCGGTCTGCCCGATAAAGTCAATAACATACACGACATACCACTATCAACAGAACACCACAGTGCATAGTATTGGCTCTTGTACGAAAAATATGCCCTGTGCTCCATGCGGTGCAAAATATAGCAGGATCTATGCCGATATTGGCTGTATCATAGAGGGATCGCCATTGCATGGGATTGCAAACGGCACAGGCCCAGCGGGGGAGAGATTCGATTGCAATCGCAGAAACAAAAGTAAGTTAGATTGTGATATTAAAGAAGGGAGACGCGGTGCACGATACAGAATGAACTCCTTATGTTCTCCTTGGTCACGATGAAATGCGCCGCATTGTATCGGACCATGGAAGCACGGATCGCGGGACGAGGAACAAGGTTCGTGGTTCAGTGCCGTTCCGTCTTGCGATCCAAAAGACGACTCAATTTGCGGCTGTAGATGGAAACGGACAAGACCAGATAAAGGAGCCAAACGTCCAGCTCATCGTTCCTCGTGCAGAACACAAGCGGCCAGCAGCGTAGCCAGGTACCCATAGTCAGGTTCACTGGTGCAAGCCACAGACCCAGCCGGCCCGGACTGCCTGGCAGCCCAAGGGATGTGATCGATTAGCACAGCTCCCGTTTCGGCGCAAGATGCCACCATTACCAGTTGGCCTGGCCTTGCATCCCACCACACGGAAAGATGTCGACACCCAAAGCGCATTCGACGTGGCGTGCCGCAAAGTGAGCTCCCGTGCTCGCAAAACAACACATGGACGATGGCGCTTTTGTCAACTGCTTCTCATTCCCAGGGACTTATGCTTTTGTCTTAGCCTACAACATCGCGCGGCAGCAGCCGTTTTCAGCGTTCAGGAGCAGGGCGACGGTCTTGCGGCCGACGTAGCAGACGCTGCGAGGCTGCCACATTCCAGTCAGGCGATAATCGTGTCCATACTGGGCCCAAAGCAGTCGGTGTTCATTGCCCTCAAAGACGGTGCCCAGCGAGTGCGAAATAATCGCACCATTGCCACGGCCGTCTGCTTGGCAAGGAAATTGGTCGCCTCCAGCGTATTTTGCTTTCCTCGTATCCGTTTTAGCGTGGTCTCCGTTTCGGCCCTCTGCGCAGCCACTCTCGACGAAGCCATTCAGCCATTCTCTGCCGAAGGCAGGAGCGACGGTCACCCGCCACAATTGAAGACTCCAGTAGCGCCGTTTTTAGAGAGGGACAAGCCAGGATTGGCAGCCACCCTGTACCCACCCAAACCAGCAAATGGCTCCAGGGGCAGCCTGCCGCAGGGCCAATCATGGACCTGAAATAGCATGTGGGGCCGATGTAAAAGCGGGTCCACTGTAAAAAAAATAAGTGGCAGGGCCAGGCACAGCGGAGAGGGAAAGAGCATCAAACAAGTCTGGCGAGACGGTCGTGAACACTAACTTGTACGGAGTACGATTAATTACACTCATTACACTCTGCACAGCAAAAACCTGCCAGTGAAGTGTGGCAATGCTCTGTTCCTCGAGTACTTTATCCTTCATCTCAGAAGCCTTAAAATGAGATTTCCTGATTTCCTGATTCCCGCGGCTTGTGCGACGTCCTGGGCCACTACTCCGTAGGTCAAGCAGGTGGCTGGCGATCGCAAGATGGCGACGATGCTCGCAATTGGGGCCGCTTCCGTCCAGTCTTCTCTTTCCGTCTACATTTTCGATCGAGGCCAGCACTATTTTACACGTTGTCCATGTGAACAGCTTCCGTTCCGTAATGGTCTTTCCTTTGCGGCCCGCCTCTCTCCCTCTCTTGCCTGTAATAATTGTGTTGCTCCTGCCTTTCTGGGCCAACACGCAGCCCAGAATCCCCAGATCCCACACTCCTTCCCTCACTTAGCCCACTTCCTTCCCCCAAATGTGAGCATTGACACTTAAATTAGCAGATCGGGCAGAGGGCTCCACAGTGCCTGTACCTTAGTTTTGCTCGTTGCTGGGGCTTTTCCTCTTTTCCTAGGTGCTGCCCGTCCTTTTTTCCCTGTCGTCGCTTCCTTGTTCTCTCGGTTTTCTTTCACACACCCACACCCTCCTTCCCATTCTTCCCCTTCCCTCCGTTCTTTCCCTCCCGTCATTCCTCCCACAAAGCATAATTATCTCATTCCCACACGCTTCTCACGAGCGAACGCATACCTCGTCTACTTTCTGGATTCTGGACATTCCCGCCCCACGGCGTGATCTTCCTTGATATTCCCTCGACACCTATAACAGCGCCCCGGCGACAAATTAAAGGACAAAAGCAGCTTCTGTCACTCGGGCGACCGACCACGAGCAGACACACAACCACCGTTAAGCCTACGAACAGGAACGGCCACGAAACACAAAAGACGACGACATCGGCGACATCGACGACTATTGTTGGACTCGACAGTCTCTCGACTCGATATCTCCAGTCTTACACGCACGGCTTCTCTCACCACGCGTCACAGATCAAACAATTAGATTAGCCGCCTCCGCCCTGTATCTTCCGATTCGTTTCGCAACGCAGCAGGACCTAGACAAAGCTTCTAGCAACGAGGCTCAGACGCGAATTGTTCCAGTCAGTTTGCTTCCTCGACGTCTACAATCTGGCCTCGTCGGACTCGCACTCTGCTTTTTAATTAAACAACTCGGCTTTTCACATCAACGCGCGTTCGCCGACGATCTCGCGAGCCGACCAGCAGAACTGCGTCTTGTGCTGCGCAAGAGCGTGAACGTTCCATCTCGACACACACTCTCTCGCCGTCTGTCGGCCATACACGCAGTGTCTCGTTGCGCGACCTCACGAATTTCGTCGCAATGGGTTCTACACAATTCGGCAACTTTGACGTAAGCTCCTTATCTTGTCCATCTCTCACCCTCTCATCGTGCGCGCGTGCGCGCGGCGAACCAGCGTCTAACCTGTCCTTTCACAGAGGTTCTGTCGCGATTCCACGTTACCAGTGTGCAATGTGCTCTCACCGTTTCACAACCAGACTGGCCCATGGGGTGGCTGTGAGCTGACGGGAATTCCCCTCAGCGGTGGCCGGAAACTGGGCAATCTGGGCTCCATTATCCTGGCCGGTATCGCCATTCTCGTCTCTGTCTTGTTACTACTGCGGTCGGACCGCAAAAAGGCAGCTGTCGGGCGGAGAGAGATGCAGCTGTTCCTGCTCGGTTACATCATCATTGAGATTTGCGAAATCTTCACTGTGGGCGAGTTCCCGCTCAGCGGCACCGTTCGCGTTGTAAGTCCTGCTCTGTGCTGCCAAGTTTCGATCCCATCTCGGTGCTAACAACAAAACAGGCATTCACCGGCATTCATCTTGGCTTCATCATCGCAACGACATGGATCCTCGTGTACAACGCCATCATCGGTTACCAGATCATTGACGATGGCACGCCGCTCTCGCTTGGCCTGGCTGCGATTACGGCCCTCATCCTCCTCATCGGCACTGGCTACATAGCCCTCGACACCGGTTTCCAGTGGACCGGCCACTTCAACTCGTCCCTCAACGGCCCGCCCGACGGCACCAACCGCAACATTGCCCTCTACGTGCTCTACCAGCTGGTGCCATTGATCTTCCTCGTGGCCTTCTTCGTCCTCGAGGCCTACCTGGTCCTCAGCGTGCTCGGCGAGACCCGGCCGCTCCTGTACCTCACGGCTGCCGCGATCCTGTTTGCCCTGGGCCAGATCTTCAACTACGTCGTCAGCCCACACATCTGCACGGGCACGAATGGCAAGATTGACGGCGCGCTTTTTGAGACGCTCTTCACCCTGCTGTCTGTGGTCATGGTCTGGATCTTCTGGTCCAGCATCACCGAGGACGACTGGCCGATGCCCCCTTCCTACACATAATTGTCCTGAACCATCACAGTAACGCAGCAAACGATCTTTTGGGCAAACCGGTGTCGGGAGTTTTGGCTTCCTAATTCTTTCTTGCGCGCTCCTTTTTTCGGGTGTTGATCGATCTTGGGTTTGATCTCGATCTCGATCTTGCTATTAATTTTACCACTTCTTACATTCGTTTGGCATTTTAACGGAACATATCAACGGGGCCGAGTACAGACATGGTGCCCCGGGGCGCGAAATCGGGATCTTTTTTTTGGCTTTTGGACGACGAGGGGACGGGTGACGGGTGACTGGTCATTCCCATTACTCGCAGGTTTGCCGGATGTTTAATCAATCCTCACCCCATCCGATAACAACTGCAACCGCGGAGGAGAGGAGAATAGGAAAATACATGTCACCGGACGGGAAGAGGACGAGGTGAAGACTGCGCCGAGCTCCTCACACAACCGCAAAAGACAAAGACTCGACGTCGTGGGAGAGCATCCCGTCTGGTTGAACAGACCACTGCAACGGCTGAGCGAGTGTTCAGCGCTCGACCGAGCAAGTGCTTCGGTAGGAGACAAAACGAGACGGGCTTTTGGATATTGGGCCTTCACAGCGGCGGAATGCCCGAGTTCTTGAGTCTATTTTGGCTATCTGAGTTTATGGTTTTGTATATGTTTTCCGCACTTGTTGATTTTTAGTATACCCTTTTTTTGGACTAGGTTGGTCTCGCTTTGCGAGTCGAGTCCAACACCCTCATAGAAAAATATATACCGACAGCTTTTCAGCAATACTGGCTCGCCATGGTGGTAACTCTGGTTCGTATTTGTAGCTGTGAAAAGGTCGTGCGTGATGTCACAGTATTTGAGTGACTAGATGAACGCGGCGCGCCGCCTGTGATTGGCTGAAAGTTGCCACCGCAAGGCTACGAGTGGCTCTGGTGGAACATTTAGCACAACGTTGTACTGGGGGGAAGCGCCAGGTGAGCTAAGAGCGCTGGGGGAAAGGACAAAAAGGCGAACCTCCACATTTTCTTTTCCAAACCACCACCAAACGGATCTTATCCAGCAGCCTCGTTTGCATGACGAAGACAGCCAACCGAACTAAACTTGCCACCTCCTGTTCGACTTTTGGCCTTCCTATCTACCATCGACTACCGAACCCGACGCTGTGTTACTTGACGGCCCTTGTCGAGCTCGACGTCACCTTCAATCGAAACCAAGCGAAAGAAGCTCTCCGCTGCCGATCATCTCAAGCATACGTTGTAGAAGCGTCACACTTCTCAACTACATTCCTTGCTCACTGCCGTCTGTCACTTTTACATCCAGCAATTGCCACACTGTCAGGCCTCGACTCTCTCCCCCTTCCCCCTTCCCGTCATTCCCTCTCCCTTCCTTCGCCCTCCCCACTCCGTCCGAGGGGAGGGGGAACTTACTGTTCGACAGGGTTGACAGGGAGCTGGATATAGTACGCTGGTGGGACGACCGAGGACGACCGAGGACGACCGAGGACGACCGAGCCCCGACACTTGTTCTCTTTCGAAACCCTAGCCCCATCGAGTTGATGACAAGATGGCAGACTCGGACGGTGAATACGTGGAAAACCAGTCCGACGATGGCGGCGGTGACGACCACTATATGACACTGGAGCGAGGCGAGGACCGTCAGCCAGCCGGCCAGCGTCATGGACGGCACCTGCAAGTACCAGGCACGCACGCTCCAAGACGACCGGGCGGTCCTAGTAGCAACGGCCGGCCGCATCAAAGTCAAGGCCCGGGCCAGGGACAAGGACAGGGACAACGGCAGACGCGGCGAAAGCAGACCCGCCAGAAGCAGCAGGCGTCATGGGAGACGGTCAAACGGTCCTGGGACACGGTCGTCGAGGCTGCCGACGGCCAGATCGTGGGCATCGAGCTGCTCGAGGCCGCCGAGAAGCGCCGCCGCGTGCTGCGCGACACCACGCCGCTGCAGCGCGGCATCATCCGCCACATGGTTCTCGTGCTCGACATGAGCATCGCCATGGCTGCCCGCGACTACCTGCCCTCCTGCCACCGCGTCGCCCTCAACTGCGCGGCCACGTTTGTGCGCGCCTACTTTGAGCAGAACCCCATCTCGCAGCTCGCCATCATCGCCATGCGTGACGGCGTTGCGCTGCGCGTCAGCGACATGGGCGGCAACCCGGCGGAGCACCTCGAAAAACTGCACGAGTGGGACAATGTCGAGCCCCAGGGCCACCCCAGCCTGCAGAACGCGCTCGAAATGTGCCGCGGCGCTCTGTTCCACACGCCCTCGCACGGCACACGCGAGGTGCTCGTCATCTTTGGCGCGCTGCTCTCGTCGGACCCGGGCGACATCCACGACACCATTGGCGCTCTCCTGACCGACCGCATTCGCGTGTCGATTGTCGGCCTGGCCGCCCAGGTGGCCATCTGCTCGGAGATCTGCACGCGCACCAATGGCGGCGACGACCGCTCCTACAATGTCGCGCTGCACGACGTGCACTTCCGCGAGCTCTTTCTCGCGGCGACTACGCCACCAGCCACCCAGGCGGCGACATCGGCAGCGGCCGCGGCCCAGAGCAACCCGGCCAGCCTGCTCATGATGGGCTTCCCGAGCCGCGCCATCGCCGACTCCCACGTTGCCGGCGGCGGCGGTCTCAGCGTGTGCGCCTGCCATAACAAACCCGTGCGCGAGGGCTATGCGTGCACGCGCTGCCGCACCAAGGTCTGCCGGCTGCCCGCCGAATGCCCTGCCTGCGGCCTGACGCTGATCCTCTCCACGCATCTGGCCCGCTCCTACCACCATCTGTTCCCGCTGCGCAACTGGTCCGTCGTGTCCTGGGTGGCGGCCGCGGCCGCCGTGCGCCAGCGCGGCGCCACGGCCTGCCACGCCTGTCTCGTGCCCTTTCCCGACCTGCCGCCGCCCGAACGGCTGCGCGAACTGCAAGCGGCCGCCGATGCCGATGCCGATGCCGATGCCGATGCCGATGCCGATGCCGATGCCGGCGACAAGGATAGGTCCGGGGATGCGGGCGCAGACACCGCCGGTGGCCGTCCAAAACAAAAGCAACAGGGGACGGCCGGCGCCGCCCAGATTGATGCCTCCACGGACCCGGCCGCCGCGGCCCTCAACAACCAGCTCAAGGGCGTCAGCGAGAGCAGCCGCTACGCGTGTGAGGTGTGTGGCCACCACTTTTGCATCGACTGCGACGTGTTTGCCCACGAGGTCGTGCACAACTGCCCCGGCTGCCAGAGCGACACGCGCCCGCCTGCCGAGAAGGAGGCCGATGCACGAGCCCGTGCGGCCGAGGTGGCGGCGTTTGTGGCCGCCGCTGCCACTGCCGCTGCCGCTGCCTCTGCCGCCTCGGCCAACGCGGCCGCAGCTGCTGCATCCGAGGCCGGCGCCATGGCCAACTCGGCGTCGTCGTCGTCCTCGGCGGCTGCCGCACGGCCAAAAACGAAGATTTTACTCAAGGCGCGAGGGTCGGCAGCGGCAGCGCCCGCCCCGGCAGAGGGCATGGTGATTGACTAGACACTGCACGCTGTGGTGGGGGGGGGATCTGGTTTGGACACGTCTATCTGTATTCCTACTTTATACCTCGGATGCCGACAGATACAACAGAACGTCAACTGTCTTGGGCTCGTTGATTTTTCATTTACACAAAGATGACATTGGACAAATAACTGTCAATAGAGACTGTGGGCATCAACAAGACCACCCATATTACGATCAGATGTCAACTGAACTTTGTACCAAGCACCTGTCTGGCAGAATGTCCCACACGTCCATGGTGCCTCGTCTTGTCCTCTTGATGTCACTCTCGGCCTGGCAAGCATAGGAGGTTGCTAATCTACTTGTCTCGTTGACGGTGATGCTGAGTCAAAACGCAATCCGAGGCCCCGTGGTCCGTCATTACGAAAGGCAGGGATGCAGCATGCCTCGTCACCAGTTGCTTTTGATGTGTTGCGCACGTCGCGCGTCGGGAGAGGACTCGTGAACCGTTTGTTTCTCGTGACCAAGGCAGTGCGCGACCATTTTGCTACTGCACTGTGGCCAATAAGCTGCTCGAGGACGTATGTTGGGGATTCCAAATGTCTCAGATTTCCCATTCAAATCAAGATGGAGCGCTGTAGGTGCACCACCTTTGTGGGATACGGGATTGGGTGTCGACGTCCCCAGCCTGCGCGGCACCAACGGAAATGCAGAGGCAAATAGGGGCTGCCGGTTTGTATGGTCAGGAGTCTGTGTACGAATTAGTTTTCTTTCTTTCTTCCCTTTGTATGATTTCGGTGGTTGTTTAATTGTACCATTTTGATGTTTATTTTTTTTATTTCTTCCAGTTCCACATAGCCAAAGGATGAACACGCAGCCACAGGCTCGCATCTCGTCCTCTGCTCACCGAGAATTAGGTTGTTACACACCCGGTTGTTCCTCATGTACCAAGGCCAGGTGAGAGGTTTCTTGCCATTGCCGAGATCACCGTGCGATGTGCGGACTATCACCTCCCATCACACCTCATCATCGTCTCGTCACACCCATATCACACGCCACATCCACACAGAGAGAAAGCCTGTTTTCCCCAAGTCCTTTCGGCGCCCCTGTGTGCCTTCACCCAGACCCTAGCTGGACAGCGCGCCGTGGGAGGGAAGCGATCTGGTACCCTGGACTCGGGATGTAAGTCTATTTCGCTTGACTCTGAGCCGGTGTGGCCAACGGACGTGACGTGAACAGGCATGAAGTGGCAATGTATCATGTACAACAGCGAAAGAACAAGAGAGAAACAATGACGTCCGTATGCAATGATTCCATCGAATCGCGATGATTGCACCGGGAATAATGCAAAGGCAGCCGCAGACAACATGGCGCTGTTTCCTCGCAATGTTCGCTCCAGAGTTGTACGGGACAGAGTCGTTTCCTTTCTTCAACCTGCAGACGTGAACGAGCACGCACTCCATCCGTACCAGTTAGAGTTCCCAGAGCACATGACGGAGGCATCGTGACACGGCGGGTCAACGTGGAGTATGT